GACATGAACGCAAAGCCTGTAGTCTATGCCCATCCTGCCAGTTGCTTTGGGTGGAGCCAGGGATTAAGATCAGAAGGATGCAGTTGGACAAAAGGCATGGACTCTGTGAAGTCTTGAGGTCTACTGAGAGCATGATAAATATGGTTGATAACAATATGCTATATTTTAAAAGTTGTGAGATAGTATACTTTAAGTGCTCTCAAAACAAAAATGATGAATATGTGTGTTATAACATGTTAATTGGTTTAATTTAGCCCTGCCATTGTGAACATACTGTATTATGTATCATAATTGTGCATGACTTTATTTATGAGCTAAATGAATGAATGGAAAAGAAAAAAAAAGACCAGCAGGATGATCAAAGGGGAAATTAGCTGAATTTACATTGCTTTTTCTTTTTTCTACAAGGAACATGCAATCATTAATTTAGATACTGACCACCTACAAAAACAGGCTAATTATCGGTAGGGCGTTGGTGGCGCATGCCTTTAATCCCAGGACTCGGGAGGCAGAGGCAGGTGGATCTCTGTGAGTTCGAGGCAGCCTGGCAAATGTTTTCTGTGAAGGGCGATTTGCTTCCACTGTTATAGGGCAAATGCAGCCATGAGACATCATGTTCCAATAAAACTTTATTGATTAAAAAAAAAACAGCTGATGTGGCCTATGAGTTATAACTTGGTGATGCCAGTTTAGATTAAGTTCACCATGAAACTAAAGCATTTTTAAGCAAGTACTTGGTGGTACAATAAGCAATCTTCCTGTTGCCAACTGGGTTAAGCCACAGCCTCAGAGACCTTGCTCAGAATAATTTAGACTCCGGTCACATCCTTAGAGACCAAACATTTATCTCAGTGTAGATAGTCTAGCCACCTTTCATCTGGGCGGTGGCCATTCACCTTCCCAGGAGCAATGAAAAACAGTCATGCAAGGGACAGCACCACACCTGAAATGCAGAGGGGAGGTTTGGTGGCCTTGAAGGTGTCTCCTAAGAAGCTCTAGGTGTGGAGGGGTCTTAAAAAAGTGTCTTTGGGTGTTCTTTGGGGAAGAGAAGGGGCCTGGAGGTGCTGAGCATACACAGGGATGGTTCTGATATGGGGGCAAAGTGTTGTTCCTTACAGAGATAGAAAACATGGTAGTTCAGGGCTGACCACTGTGCCAAGGTATAGTGGGTGCTGAGACACCACCGCCAATGAGGATGTGACGCCTTGTGACTGTCTGCTGCTGTCCTTGGGCCTGGGGGCTGGAAACACTAACCTGACAAGCTCCAGGAGCCAGAGTTAATTGTTCCTGGTTCTTACAGTTTTCAGCAGTGGTGTTTCCTAAGTCGGGGACTCACCCTGTTACAGGGGGGTTGGCTGCCCATCTAACTCCTGCTAACACATACAGAAGTAAGCTTCTGTTTTGATGATTCCTCTCAAACACAAATGCAGGCCGAGAAGAAGGGACTCTGGGCTCCACGTTCAGTAACTGTCTTCATGTTTTATCTAACCCAGAGAGGAGAGGAAAGAACCAGCTCCCACCATTCTCCATATTACATCACATGCTGACCTCAGACCTCAGCTGTGTTCCCGTAAACCTTCGGTGCAGAGATGGGGCATCTGAATCCCAGAAAGAGAAGGAAAGCAAAACCATACCTGCTTGGCGGTCCCTGTTTTTGTTGGATTTCTCCCCTGGGGTCCACTTTGAAGAATCAGGATTGATGGCTCTACTCAGAGCTCAACACACCTGCAGTGGCTGCCTGGTTGTATACAGAGGTCTTGCTTTAGCCTGTAGTGTTTTGTATGGGCCAAGGTCAGGTTCCCAGGGAGAGGAAATGAGCCTCTTGCTAGAAAAATGAGCAGTATCTCTGCTTCTCCTTCTTGGCTAATCTTAGGATATGGTGTCCCTGGGCATAGGAAGTATGGTTTTTCTTGTCCACATTTCACTCCAGGTCCAATGTAGTAAGAGGCCCCAGTTGGCACTCCTAAGTCCCAAGTCCAGCACCTGAACTAGCAATGACCAGATTACCGTATTTACCCTTGTTATACACCCTCGCTGTTTTTCATAGTTGTCGTCACTGTAAACCATAAAAGGGTAAGGGTATTTTAAGTGTCTGCCCCAATTCTGGGCCAATGTCTGCCTCTCTGAGGGTGTTTATCACTGGAGATAAAGTGTCTTTGAGTCTACAGTTCCAAACATGTCTTTCCTGGACAGCAACATAAAGGTGCTGAATTATGGCACGGGCATGTGAGGAGGAGGGAGAAACAGGACAATGAAGGAGATGGCTTTGAGACAGGTATGATTTTACAGTTGCAACCTCGGGCAGAAAGCTGTCTGGGAGCAGGCAACTGACCATTGGGAAGGTTTTGAGAGCTTTTTCTTCCCTCAGATCCTTCTAGAAGGTCAGCTAGGAGCAGGGAAGTGGCCCAGCAGGAAACCTTCCAGAGCTGGGAAGCTGTTGCTAATAAATTCCACTGCCCACAAGGTTGCCTTGGCCTTCAACACGGACCTAGAATAAATGAAATAGGGACTGAAGTCCCTCTGTAAACAGCCCGTCCAATAAGTTCTGGGGTAGCAGGACGGTATCATGGGGTTATGTCTTGGGTCCTGGGGACCACAGCCTAAGTGGCTGGGAAGACTGAAAAGGGACATTTATTTCCATGACCAGTGGTAGGTCTTTCCGGTACTGATTGGCACTTTTGTAGCTGAGGAGATTGGGCAGGTTTCCAGCTGAGGTGGGGCACCAGGCCAGAAGTCCTGGAGCCACAGGTAAATCATTATAGGCTTTATCATCTCCCAAAGACACAAAGGTCTGGATTTACACCTCATATAAAAATGGCAAGTTATTCACAGCAGAAATGGGGGAATCCAGAACGAGTCAGGAGCCTACCCAAGGTCTGAAGGGTTGTCTGGGCTCTCTTCCTCTGGATATTCTGTATCAGGCTCCCCGCAGGGCTGCCAGGCCTCGTTGTTCACGCAGGCAGGGCTTCATTTGGAAGCCAATTAAAATGCCCTGTACAGGGCAGTTACTGAGATACCCAGACTGATCCCCGGTGGGTGAGCCTGAGTCACCCAAGGCATGGCTGGGAAGGAGGGGAAACTGAAGCCCTCACCTCTACTCCAACTTACCTTCTGCTGCAGTCACAATGATGGTTCCTGAGGCACCCACCGGAGGCAAGCCTAGGCAGTCAGGGTCCTGGGTAAAACTTTATAAAAACATAAATATAAATATAAACACACTCAGCCAACTAAATTTATGACACATTGATGGTGTAAATCCAGGTGAAGCCAAGGACTTTATCAGGCCGCCCAGTGGTCTTTCTCAAAATCTCTTAACATCTTCTTGGGTGTGTGCGGTCCAAGCTGACATTCACATGGGGTAGACTACAGGGACCTTCTCCTTTTTCTTCTTTGGAGGACACATGCCCCCAGTTTGCTTTCTGTTGCTGTGACAAATACGGTGACCAAAAGAAACTTTGGGGAGCACAGGAAAGGATTCATTTAACATACTCATCCAGGACACCGTCCATCATTGAGGCAACTCAGGTCAGAACTCAAGGTAGGCGCTTGAAGCAGAATCCATGCTTTCATAAGTGTATGCAGCCTACATTTGATTCATATAACACACATTTCTGCCTGCCCACCCCCCTTTCTAGAGTTGTCTTAAAGCGGGCGAGGTAGAACACATTATCCAATGGTATATCAGATTGCTTTGTAACTTTTAAATATTTTCAATGCATACTCTTGACTCTCACAGAAGTCAGGGGAAGACATGTCTATGAAGAATAGTTTTCTATTGTTGTTGTTGTCCGTTGTTGTGCATTAGTGTACAAACCTGGTTCCAATGTGACATCTTCATAAGTACTTGCAGTGTACATTGACCATGGTCGCCTCTCCATGAGGAACCCTCTCTCTGTGCCCTGCCTTCTCTTCCTTGAAGAACATGTTCTATGCAAAGTTTGTTTGGACAAAGGTGACATGCAGACACTGTAGGCTGTGAGCACTGTTTCTGATCCTTGCTCTGTTTCTCTTTGGCTTACTGCCAACATCTTTTACAATTTTGTCTTATCTTTCTTATTGACAAATGCTTTATATACCAACCGTGGATCATGCGGGACTCTCCTCTCGATGGACTGCCTCTTCAGCTCTTTTCTCCTAGTAACCAGGTAGATAACGTGCTATATATCAACTGTGTTACCAAGCAACTAGCTCTCTGAGGTAAAAATGGCCCTGACTGGTAAAACACATCTGTATTGGGATGGCTTGCATACTTACTGTTAGTACCCGCCAGGGACCCACAGCGGAGAGTCTCTGAGTATGTTAACTTTTCTATGTGAGAAAATCTTGGAGGGGAAGGGGGCTTCTGGAAGCCAAGCCAACAAAATCATTACGAGAGATTAGTCTAGCCTCTGGAATGTGAGCCATATACGCTAGGCAGGTCCTGTACCCACCCAGTGTGCTCCTGTTTTATATCCCGACTGAACTACCCCATGCCCAGTATGACCACCTTAGTCTGTGCACATGAACATTTAGTTCTAGCCTAACACCAGCCTCTGGAGCGCACTGCAGATGTTTGGGTTGAACTTGGTAGGTTCTGCACCATGCTGTGGCTGTGCTTACGGGAGCAAAATGCATCATGCTGCACCTTGTCCACCCCTGTGAGAACAAGCTTTGCAAACAATGTTCACACATTCCATGATGCTTTATTCATGAACGGAGTACACTTCTATTACAGGAACCCCCTCAAAAAAATACCCTACAGCCTTACTTTTCAGGTAGCAAGAATCCAATTGCTAGAGAACCAACTCTAGGTTTCTAATAAACACAACAATAGGTAGCATAACCTAGACGAGATGAGCCAGTTGCCATGGAAGTGCTTCAGTCTTTTTTTTTTTTTTTTTTTTTTTTAAACAACAGACAGTCCATTCTCATCACGCTTGGTTGAGTAGGGCCCCAAGCTGAATGGAGCTGCTTCTCCTCCTCCTCCGGGGCTCCCTTCCAGGTGAAAACATCAGGCTCACCTAACTCTTTTCCTTGCCTGGAGTCTGGTCTTCAGAGACTGAGGCCTTATCCGGCTCTGACTCCTCTCTCTTCTTCCTCCGCTCTTCCGCCCTGGCGTTTTTGTGGATCACAGCTTCCGTGTAGGTGTGAATGATGTCATGGGCTGCGAGAATGTGCTTCCGCTGTGCGTTCCTCACTGAACCAGAGCAACAGGACAGGTTTTACTTTTCTGCTTGAAACCATCCCCCAGTGTTTTTAAGATAGGAGTGAAAAAAACCTGTTAATTTTCAAAACATACATTTTCTGCTTTGGGTTAACTGTACTCAATTAAAATGACCCACTGTGTGTTTTAGAAGGGTATTTCCTTCCTTCCTTCCTTCTTTCCATCCTTCCTTCCTTCCTTCCTTCCTTTCTGTTTTTTGGTTGTTTGAGACAGGGTTTTTCTGTGTAACAGTCCTGGTTGTCCTTGAACTCACAGAGGTCCACCTGCCTCTGCCTCCCAAGTACTAGGATTAAAGGTGTGTGCCACCAACACCTGGCCTTAGAAGGACATTTTCTAAAAGGAAACCAGACCTGCTATCTTTTACATTTGAAGTATTCTTCAGCTGTGGCACTATTGAGAGGTAATTGGGTTATCAGGGTTCTAATTTCAGCAATGAGTTCATCGAAATGCCAAATCTAACCTTATAGAAATTAATTGAATTATATAGACTTTGGATCTGGTTAATTTTGGTGTGTGATATTTTTCATCATTGAAAGTTTTTTTAAAAAAAATAATAAAAATTATATAACAAAGAATCTATTGAGTCACAATTGCATGGACTATAAGGTGGGGTCTAGTAGAGGAAGTAGATCATTGGGAGCCTGACTTTGAAGAGTACATCTTGGCTCTGGGTCATTCCTTTCTCATTCTCATGGTGGGGCCAGGGCTTGAGCATCTTTCCTCAGCTACACTTTCCTGTCCTTCTTCTGCCTCACCAAGGCCCAGAAACAACAGAACAGCTAAGACAATGAGCTTGGAAGGTGGTCCTGGGTGCAAATCCTATGAGCATGTATTACTAAGCTTTTGTGCAGACAATAGCAAATGCTGAAGCCCTTGGGAAGGATGGGTGCTCATGCTGATAACGATGGTGATGTTATCAATCTGCACTTGTCCTTAATTTGTGCGAGACACTGTTTTATGCAGTTGACGTGTGATCACTCATTTAATCCAACCATAACCTTAAAAGAGAATATTATAAGCAGTCTTATTTTTAGAAGAATGTAGACACAGGGTGATTAATTAGGTAATCTGTCCCAAGCCATACAGTTAGCTAGTTAAGGACAGTAAGAAGTACCATGGGCTGGGCATGGTGGTACATCCCTGTAATCCTAGCACTAAAGAGGCTAAGGCAGGAAGATTGCTAATTCAGGGCCAGCCTGGACTATATAATAAATGGGACCCTCTCCCCAAAAGGAAAATAAAAAGTACCGTGTATTCTTTGAGGTATCAATTTCTTTACATGAGGTGATTTTGCAGAGCAGATCACCCCACTTTTCAGTAATATGGTTGAAAAAGCAGGGCCTTTGGGACCACATTGGTCATGACTCAACCCTGCTAGTTATTTGTTTTCAATCACTAATTTCCTTGACAGAAAAATGAGAATACACCTATAACTATTATAAGAGATTAAGATACTGTGCAGTTTCTAATGCTGAATGAACTACCCTGACCTTGGCGTGCACAGTGAGGTAACCAGGCTAGGGGGAGGTTTCAGATGTTAAGAGTGCCTGCTGTTCTTCCAGAGGACCAAAGTTTGGTGCCTAGCACCCATGTCAGGCAGCTCATAACCACCTGTATCCTCCAGGGGATCTGATACAGTCTTCTTGCTTTTTTACACACACACACATACACAGAGAGAGAGAGGGGAGGGGAGGATAATATAAATCATAAATCTTTAAAAGAATAAGACAATTCCAAATGGCCTATGAATATATCTTAGTCTTGGGTAGAGAGTGCGTGTAAAAAGTACAGTTCTCTTAGTTGAAAAGAGAAACAAAGCTAGGTGTTGTGGTAGTGTTCGCCTTTAATGTCAGCACTCCGGAGGCAGAGGTAGGTGGATCTCTGTGAGTTCAAGGCTAGCCTGGTCTACATAGAGAGTTTCAGGATAGCCAGAGCTACATAGAGAGACTCTATCTCAAAAATAAATGAATAAACAAATAAATAAATGAGAAGTGAAATTTCCAAGTGTTCATTCTCTGCCTATATGTAGAAGGAAATTAACATAAAATATAAATAAATTAGTGTTATGTAAAAATCCGAGGACTCGCCCAACCTGCCCACTCACAATTAATTGCCTCTGGGTTCCCAACATTCACTATGCCCCTCCAAATCTTTTTCCTTAGGCCCAGAAGGAGATTTGAGAAAGATTTTTAAAATCATTTCATCTTTAAATTTTTATATGTATGTGTTATAGGTATGTGCTCATGAATGCACGTTCCCTCAAAGGCCAGAAGTGTCAGATCTCCCAGAGCTGGAGTTACAGGGGGTTGTGAGCCACCTAACATTGTGACTTCTGCTCCTGCTTCCCAGAGGAAATTGCAAACTGATAAGTACTGAGCCCATTTTTTTTCTTCCATCTCTTTCAAATACCCTTACAAAAGGTGCCTCTAAAGAAGGCCTAATATTTACCATTAATTCTCAAGGATCTTAAAAACATAGCAGCTATAATATATTTTGCTTGGTCTGAATGGTTAACTCTGCCATTATGGACACTGTAGTGCATGGTGGGAGCAAAGCCATCTTTTGTGTGTACGTAGTTTTATGAAAACATAACACACACACACACACACACACACACACACACACACACACACCCTGCTGTCCAACACTTACACTGCTGGGAATCTAAGGACAGTGGCCAGGATGTGTGTAAATATACTGATTACAATAAAATAAAAACACAAAAGATACCGTAAGCAGACTAAACTGTTGAGGGCTAGAGAGTACCTGTTTTAAAATTACGCTACCATGTGTATGTAAAACATCAACATTCTTTGATCTAATTCGTTGGAATCTCACTAGTCTTTTTTTTGTACAAAAACAATCAATGTGTATTTATTTAATATACATTGTAAGGGCTCAAATAGACTTAATTTAAAAAAAATAAAAGCAAAGGAAGTGAGCACAAGACTCACTAGTCTTTTGTCCTTAATCAATGTCACGCTTTTCTAATTCAATCTCTCCAGAGGTTTTTACAAGCTAACTGCTTGTGTGCTGTTGTTCCATGGTGTCACCATGATGACATTCTTCTCTGGGATCAGATCTGGCCTCCACAGTGTGAGGGTTCTGAAAGAATCTTTTTCTTTTTCTTTTTAATATTTTTATTGTTATTATTTTAATTATGTGTATGTGGGCTGGAGGATGTCCATATGAACGCAAGTGCCCACAGAGGTCAGAAGTGTCAGATCCCTCTGCAGGTGATGTTACAGGAAGCTGTAAGCCACCTGCTGAGGATGCTGGGAATCAAACCCAGGTCCTCGGGAAGAGTAGTCTGCACCCTTAACCACTAATCTATCTCTCCAGCCCCCAATCCTTACAAATCCTTTTCTTTTTTTTTTAAAAAGATTTTATTTATTTATTTACTATGTAAACAGTTATCTGCATGCATGCTTGCACACCAGAAGAAGGCACCAGATCTCATTATAGATAGTTGTGAGCCACCATATGGTTGCTGGGAATTGAACTCAGGTCCTCTGGAAGAGCAGTCAGAGCCCTTAACCTCTGAGCCATCTCTCCAGCCCCCCAAATCCTTTTCTTTTTAAGACATACTCTTTCCTTTTCTATTACTTAAAAACACCATTGTTTTAAAACAGGCTGTTTTTGATAAAGGGCAAATTGAAACTGTTATACTTAGATGCTGCCCTAGGGAAACACTACAGTGACCCGGGAAGCAGCAGAGTGTCCTTAGATGCTTGGGGCACCCCTGCTTTTCGGTACACACCATTTCTGAGCCCTGCCTGCTGAAGGCTGCAGCTGTGTGTCACAGCTGGGAACTTGAGAACTTCCTGTTAAAGAAGGTGGAGTTTGACCCTCTGCCAATCTGCCTGGATCCGATCCTGCCCCCTGCTGAAGGTGGTTGGGTTTTTCAAAACTCCCCACACCTTTGTCTAGAATTACAGCCCTTACCTTTCTCTTTGACGAAGTCTTTTTGCACCTCTGGGATGAGAAAACTGTAAACCAACTCGGCAACAATCTCCTCTGACTGAAGATATGTTCGACTGGAAAACAGCAAACAAAAACAAGCAAACAAGCAGATAAATAAAAAAGGAACTCCTGGTTTCTCTGCTTGGGCTATTGATAGGCACCAAGACCTGCATGGCCTGCGTAAAAGAGCACATTTCTGGAAAGCTTGTTTGGCTTCACAAGTAATAAGAATAAATAAATAAATAATTAGAATTCGACCCTGTCCAGCCTGCTATGATGCACATGTTAAAAATTCAGCAAATACTTGGAAGTCTAAAACATTGTGATTAAGTCCAAATAATGTCAAATACATATGTCTACTTTGCTTTTATGTTCTTATATTGTGAGGATGTATAGGATGGAAATAAGCCAGAAGGATAGAGGCAAACTGAGAATCAATCCCCAGTGTTCTTACCAAGACGGGGATGGGCATGCTCAGTTCCAGTGAGTTATGCTAGTAAAACAACGGACACCAAAGCATGGCTTATATATTGCTGGTGGGGCCTTAAGTGCCTAAAAGATTATGACTGAATAACAATAAATGTGTCGTCATCCGTTTCACAGCCTTTTCCCATGATGCCTACATACCGGTTTTCCATTTCATAAGCGATGTCATTGATTTCATCAGCGATCTTCTCAATTTCTGCTCTGGCTTGTTCTTCCGCAGTACTCTCTTCAGTGTTCAATATGATGTCTTCCAGATAGGAGGTTACCGTACTTTGGTGAACTTTAATCACCTGCAGAAATTAATATGTGTGTGTGTATGTGTGTGTGCGCGCGCGCGCACGGGCGCGCTTAAGAATTTCTACTGTAAACAAGACAAAACCCGCACAAACATAGCTTGATGATCTCACAGTCATTAAGTCACCAGTCTATTTCTCATCCATCTACCTATGCTGTCTGGGCAGCCCAACCCATTTAGCCCATCCCATAACTGTGGGTCCTACTTGGATGCTGGTAAAAAGCACTACAACAAACGCTGATCAATAACCTGGTTTGGACTCTGGTTGTTCTTATCAGTTGTGTGGCGTGGCTAAGCCACCCAACTGCAGCAGAGGCTAGGGAATGTTTCCCAATACCCTGTCTCTTATCTTCGATAACCGGACCTCTGGATTTCAGCCGGGCAAACAAGTACCTAGGACTATATTTCCTAGTTCCTATAGGGTCTAGTCATGGCCACATGACCAAAAGAACACTGAGGTGATATGAACTTCTCAAAAAGGTTCTTATAAAGGAAGACTTAGCTTTCCCCCTTTTCTCTTCCTTTTCTCTCTTTTTATGTTTTATTTCATGGACACGAAACCTTTGATGACAGTAGTCACCTTAAGTTGCCACAAGGGCCACATTTTAGAGGCTGCAGAGCAGAAGGTAGAATGATCCCAGGTCACTGAAGGATTTACTGAATTATCATTAATTTCATTTGGAAGATTTCTTAAAGTCATGAAATAGAATGCAGAGCATATACATGTTCAATATAATGAATTAAGATAAAAACCAGTGTCCATATAGTTGCTGCTAGTACCTAAGAAGGCCATCGGATCCTTCCTGACCACAGCCTGTTTCTACTTTCATGACCGTCATGCTGAGTTGTTGTAGAGTATTATTTTAAGGTGTGTTACATTTGTTTATACTATGGAACAATTGCTTAATGATGTAAAGAGGTGTTGTTTTTGTTTATGCTGCATTTGTTTGACTCAAGAGAATAGGAGAGAAGACATCAGGGGCCAGCCACCCAGCCACCCAGCCACCCAGCCAGCCACGGAATGAGAGTGAAAGTAAGATATACAGAAGTAAGAAAAAGAAAAGACCCAGAAGCAAAAGATAGATGGGATAATTTAAGTTAAGAAAAGTTGGCTGGAAATAAGCCAAGCTAAAGCCAGGCATTTATAAATAATAAGGCTGTATGATTTATTTGGGAGCTGGGTAGTGGGTCCCCCAAAAGAGTAAAGAGTAGTAAAGAGCAATCAAAACAATCAACACCAGCGAGTGCTTACTTAGCTTTAGAATTTTGCTCTCAAACTATGTAATCTCAGGCAAAACCAATTAGCCTTGTTTGTTTCATACACACATATGCACACACAGGAAGTATCGCAAGCATCAACAGTGACATAGAACATTGGATACCTGGGTTATAAAACTAGAGGTGTGGCTGGGTGTTGGTGGCGCATGACTTTAATCCCAGCACTTGGGAGGCAGAGGCAGGCGGATCTCTGTGAATTCGAGGCCAGCCTGGTCTCCAGAGCAAGCACCAGGACAGGCTCCAAAGCTACACAGAGAAACCCTGTCTCGAAAAACAAAAAAAAACAACAACAACAACAAAAAAAAAATAGAGGTGTGGGGAGTTCAATACCGGCCACACATGTGCTTGCACAAAGTGGTCCTTAAGTCAGGCTGAGAATGTTGTTAACTCCTGTATGTCCTTTCCAGATGTGATAGGAATTTCTGCCTTTTCCACTTGGCTGTCCCAAACTAAGTTTCAGCTGAATTGTACTTCCACCCCTGACCCTCCCCCTCTCCACTTACACTTACGGCTTCTGGTTGCATAAGCCATAGACTATAGTCATCATTCTTGATTTCTTATTGTGTCTCCCTTTGGCCATAATTAATTAGCAAGGGCCCATTCTTGGCCTCACTTGCTCCCTTCATGGCAGTTCTAATTCTATAATTATGCACATGTTTTGTGTTATTTAAATTGCCTGTGTCTTCCCTCCAGAGTACCCATAATGCCCTTGTATTTCCTAGTGTAGAGTGAAAACTCTGCATATGTGCTAAATAAAATGAAAACAGAACACAAATCCCATTTTATGTCATGCGTATGATTTTGGGAGACATCACAGTATGAGATGTCTTTGGTTAACCCTGGCTCCCTCAAGGCCCCAGAGTCTAGGGAATTAACATACACCCTCCATCCCACTTGCCTCCATAAATATCTGGTCCTCTTGCTGTATGCGCCTCTGCTCCACCTGCCTTCGGCCACTCTCTTCCGCCTCCCGCATGCGCCGTTGGCGCTCAGCTAGCATGGCAAAGGCATGGATCCTCCTCTCCTCCTGCAGTCTCACCAGCTCTTTAGACAGAAAGTCAAACATGTCTGCCAGCACTCGTCCTTCCAGGTCACCTAGATGGTTTTCAATGACTGACACCTGGAAAACAAAAAAGGCTGTAAGGATGAGCGCCTCTCAGAGCAGTGCTTAGTAAGTGTCGTGTGACTGACTCAGAGCGACCAAGCAAGGCTACTTCTTGCTACCACAGCCTTGACTGGGAATGATAGGCCCCAGTGACCCCACCCTTTACTGAAACCTTCTCAGAGCGACACACACACACAATGTAATTTTTCTCAGTTTTATGCAGAAAGTCACACATGAAGGAAAAAGAGAAGCTTCTCGATAAAGATAACATTGGATTCAATTTAATAAAATAGAACTATCTAGAAATTCACTCATGAGAACTTTTAATTTTTAAATCCATGGTCTTCTCCTACAAGCTTGAAAAGCTTTAAAATATTGAATAGCATGAAAGTGGAAAACCTTGGTAATTTTTAGACTTTTTAATAACTTCAAAGCTATTAGCAATCACCTTTGAAACAGCCCCAGATAAAGCTTAAATGCCCGTGTATCATTGAGGTAAAATAAGGGGCCCATGGAGTGCTCGGCCAAGAGTAAGCCACTGATGTGTGGACATCGTGTCCTGGCTTTCGCACAGAAACACATTTAAGACCTGCTTCCCTCCCCTGTTCCCGCCATAAGGGACATTCTCCCTTCTTCCCACCATGTGCTGCTTTAACACTGATGGCTCTGCTCTCCTCTGCTCTGCGCCTTCTCTGGTTTGTGTCTAAAGGGAAGGAATATTCTCAGGTCTCTGGCAATGAGGTCACGCTGAGGCTGTCTGTCAAGAGCAGTTGTTAGGCTAGCTCCCTCATCCACATCCTGCACATGTACTTTCAAGCCCTGAAGTTCAACATTGTTCTTGTTTGTTTGTTTGTTTGTTTGTTTTTCAAGGCAGGGTTTCTCTGTATTGCTTTGGAGCCTGTCCTGGCACTCACTCTGTAGACCTGGCTGGCCTGGAACTCACACCTACCTCTGCCTCCTGAGTACTGGGATTAAAGGCATAGTCACCAATGCCCCGGAACCTTGTTTTTTAACTGGGGCACTGGAAAGGGTGAAGCTAGGGTTCGTCACTGCTCACTCATGTATCAACAGTGGATACTCAACCCAGAGAGGGTGAATTCTCTCCCTGTCTCTGTAGACTTGAGTGCTCCCACTTCTAGGGTAGGGGTGGGTGCTAACCTCAGGTCCACAGATGCCTTTTCATGTCCAGCCTCCTTCCTTTCCAGGAAAGGTAGCCAGAAAGGTTCAGGTAGGGAAGTGCAATTTGAAAGTGAAAGGGCTTGGGAGGTATCACTCCTGCAACTGTATCATTAATTCACCACAAAATGGAATTGTGTTTCCTCAAGTTTCCCACGGAAATAGAAAAAGGTAAAGAGAGCAGCATTGCTAAACATGTGCAGCACATTGTCCCTCGGACCCCTGTGCTGGGTACCTTAATAGGACCAAAGTTAAGCAGTCTTTGGAGGAGTGATGGTATTTCCCAACAGACCTTTCCATCTCACTTGGCTGGCGTGAATGCCCACTGCACAGTTGGCTTAGCCCCAGCTGCCTCAAAAGGCCAAGGAGGGCATTTTCCCCACCCCACCTCAGGGTCTACTGCTTTTGTGGCTTTCTACTCCCTGTCCAAACATCTCCAAGGCTCCAGGACCACCAGAATCAGACACCCCAGGTCACATTATCTTCACATTTCACCAGTCCTACTTTTAGGTGGCATGGCTTGTGGCTTTCTTACTGCCTCACCTCCGACCTTGTAACTCCCCAGAGCCCACTGAACATCAATGGCATTGATGTCATATAAAAACATAAAGCTGTTGCCATTCCCAAGTTGGTTATTACTTGTGCTCAATTCCCATATAGCATGAGAGTTGTGTGTGTTTACTAAAAGTAGGTCAAACAATGTTGCAGTAGGCACACTACTTTAACACTAAATTGTGCAAATCGATTCATGTTTAGGTTTGGTTTACAGATGTCTGGGAACAGGAGTAAGTAACTACAGTGTAGTCATAACACAAAGAGCAAGCACAGAGAGATGAATGCTGGGTGGGGTGGGAGATTTGCTGTTGTTAGTTTTTGTCAGACGGCAGAGCAAGAGAACCTGACAAAAGTCACCAAACCTTGTGAGACAATGACATATTTAATGGGTGGTTTAACCAGCAAGAGCAATTCACATGTGGTTCCAAAATTCTGCAATAAATGTCAATGTTTTAAAAGAAATCTCATACTGTACTTTTCCCATGTTACTTTTTCTTCGTTATTCATTTAGTGATTCCACTAAGCCCAGGCTTAAGGGAGTTCAGCAGCATTACTCAATGTTTAGGAAAGCATTTTTTTTTGTTTGGTTTTTTGTTTTGTTTTGTTTTTCGAGACAGCTTTGGAGGCTGTCCTGGAACTCGCTCTGTAGACCAGGCTGGTCTTGAACTCAGAGAAATCCACCTGCCTCTGCCTCCCGAGTGCTGGGATTAAAGGCGTGAGCCACCACCGCCTGGCTAACGGGAAAATCTTAAAATTGGAAAAAATCATTTGTTTGGTTTGGTTTCAAGCTTTCTGTTTTTAAGTTAAGACAAGAGCAACCTTTCGATTCAGCGAGGGCACGCCGCACATCATATTGTGGGCTGTTGCAGAATGCTGGGTGCCCGGGCTCTAGAGGCATTTTTAGAATCTTTTCATCTAACGTTATTACAGTGTTGCTTATTCGACAGTAACCACCCCTCGAGGGGAGGGCGCAGCAAGCTGCAAAGGGCGCAAAGGAGAGAACCTTTTCCTCATGCAGGTTCCTCTGCCGCTGCAGGGCCAGGGTCACTTGCTTCTCCGCTTTCTTCACTAGCTTGTCATCCTCTTGCAGGGCATGGCTGGTGCGCAACTCCAGGATCAACTCCAGTCGTTTCTCCTTGCCCTCAAACATCTGCACCAAAGCAAAGATTTGCCTGTTACCTTGTGCCAAGTCTGCAAGGGCCACACAGTGAGCTGGGAGGCATGTGTGAGTAGCAGATTCTGTACCTGCTGTTCAGCAGCGAGGACCCCCCCCCATCCCATGCGCCTTCTGTGGATGGGTGCAGGTGTGCATGCATGCACGGTGTGTGTGTGTGTGTGTGTGTGTGTGTGTGTGTGTGTGTGTGTGTGTTCACATGAGTTGCTCCACCTCCCAAAGACAAGGTAGCAACTACAGCAAAACTAGAGTCCTCTGCTCAATTCCTGTGCCCCCTGTTAAATGAAAAAATAAAAATCTGTAATGGCACTATTCAAAGCCAGTTCGCTTTTCCCGATTTTCCCATGAACTAGTCCCATTAGCACACAATCCGTTGTCTGGAGGGAAGGGCAAGATTGTCCCATGGACTGAGAGGACAAAGTACAGCATTGAGCAAGGTGTTCACCAGCTGCCCTGGAGCCTGCACAGTCTGTCAAGACCTGAAGCCCTCCGGAGGGAAACCAAAAAAGAGCTTTGTGTGTTTAAAAGTGAGGTGTGCCTGCTGCAGTGGCAGAGATGATGATCTGGTCAAAGCTTAAAGTCAGAACCAGCACTGGGCCTACCGGGTGTTAAGAGGACATCCCTCAGACTCAGATTGCTTCCCTCTAAAGTGAGATTTCTGATGGGGAAAACGAAATGAGAGGATATCCACAAATGATGTGGGCAGATAGCAGGGCTTCGAAACTCTAACAGCTTTGTGTTTACAATCCAGATAATGCTCACTGTGGAAGCTCAAGTAATTGTTTTAAGACATAATAGGAAATTAGGGATCCCTCTTGGGCTGTAATGCTCTGTCAAGATTCAGCAAATCTGGGGAGCCAGCAATTCCACAGAAGAAGAAAGCAGTTCACATAGCCTGAGTTACAACTGTGGCACACAACAGGCAGGAGGTACCTCTCATCTTGACCTTGTGTGACCCAGATGGACAAGGATGGCACTGGGAGAGAAAGAGAGTTAATTCTAGAGTACAGCAGAAGAGGAGAGCAGGGGGCAGTAGGGAATTTGCCTCAGCAGCAAGTTCAGACACAGTTTCCATCGTCCGTTGTCGAGGGAGTGGTCTGACCTACGCACCATGTTCTGTACAACTCTGCCCCGGAGTAATTTCTGCAAGTAGATCACAGCCATCTCTATCTCTCCTTCCTCCTAAAGATACAAAGGAGAATCAGCATGAGGACAGCAGCTGCCCAAGCAGCAAACATTTTTTTGTTTTGATTTTTTTTTTTCCGAGACAGGGTTTCTCTCTATAACAGCCCTGGCTGGGCTGGAACTCACTCTGTAGACCAGGCTGGCCTCAAACTCACAAAGACCCACCCACCTCTGCCTCCCCAGTACTGGGATTAAACATGTGCCACCACTGACCAGTGCATCAAACATTTTTTTTTTTTTTTTGAGGACCTATTTCAGGCATACGACTGTGGTAGATGCCAAAAGAATTGAAAGAGAACTACGATGTGGGTCTGCTGTCATCAAACACACAGTGTCTCAAATATTACCTACTGTGTCATTAAAATTCATCATTTTTATTATGAATAACACACCATTACAAAGGCCTAAAAGAAAGAAATGATGGGACTGCCAAGCTAGCCCTGCACATGGAGCCCCTCCCAGCAAGATCATTCTGAATCCACAAGTACAGCTAATAATGTCCTTTAACAATGGGGTTTTCATGTTTGCTTATGAGCAATGAAGAGAGTAGCTAGAACGAGTGCTTTCCACATGAGTTAGCTAACGTGGCAAAGTCAGAATATAGTGGGTAAGACTCATCAGCTACAGAAACTGATTTATGGTGTTAGGAAGGGGGTGGGGGACTGTTTTCTTCAGGGATATAATCCCTGAGAAGTTAGTTTCCCATGCTCCATTACATGGCCCTGTGCCGTGCATTTACCAGACTCGGTGGGCTGAAAAAGAGCACATTCGATTGGGAGGAAACCATGGTGGAGGAGGATAAGGGAGGAATTAGAGCAGACAGAATGGAAGTCCTGTCACTACATTATATGCATGTAAAATCAGCAAAGATAAACCTGGGAATGTAATTAAGGCCTCTGGGTGTAAAGGCAAGCAACAGGCAACAGGGCCATGGAGGAGTGTAATGAGTACCCAAAGGTATGCACAGAGTCTGCAGGGGACACTTTCTTGGCTCAGCCGTGGGACAGGCCAGTCGTTCTCTCTTCGGGGTCCCCAACAGAAGAAAGTGATAGAACCTGGAGACTTCTCACCCACTTGCCGTGACCTCCGAATGTGCGTGGCAGCCATCTGAATGATCCTATTACCTTGGCCTCCCCGGTGCTGAGATTACAGGGGTATGCCAGCATGCCCGGCCAGACTATCACCTTCTCTGTCTCCCCTCCCCTATCTCCTCCTCTCCCTAGTCCCCTTCCTTCCTCTCCTCTATTTTTTTTCGGGGGGTAACATATATGGAGGTTACTTCTAATAGCTATTTTTCATTCTTTGTGTCTTGACTCTTGAAAAGACTGAACATTTAGATTTCATATGAATTATATTTGTATGTGTTAGATGTCTGATATATACAAATTAAGAGGGAACTGGCAGTGGGTGGGTGAAGAGATGGCTCAGTGGCTAGGGGCACTGGCTGCTCTCATAGAGGACTGGATTTCCATTTTCAGCACCCACATGGTAGCTCACAACCATCTGTTAACTCCAGTTCCTCTTTTGCCCCCCCCCCCCGTGGTTAATGTATACATATGCTGTACAGACACATGCAGGCAAAATGCCCGTACACATACAATAAAAACCAAATACACCTCAAAAGAAATGTAAAAGAGAGGGAACTGGTTTTGAGACACTAACACTGCTAGCTGTATTCTTTTCTAACTCAAACTGCTCTAAGCATGAACTGACTGCAGTCCTGAACTTGGTGTTCAAGTGAAAGTCTCAGACTTACATATGAACTCATCTCCAATGTGGGGGTTGGGAGCCGAGGCTTGGGAAGAGGGTTCTTTTGCAGGAATCGCAGAGATTTCTTTCCTTCTAGAACTTTCTTCTTCTTATCCATCACTGCCTGAAATAAACATCAACAAATGCCATCTCTTATTTCTCTATCCTCCCCCAGTGCCATATCTAGACTGTAAATCTGGGTATCAGGGACTGGGTACCAAGTCCCTATGTCTATATTCAAGGTTAGCCAAGAAAGTTCTGGCTGGGTTGCATGTATTTACCACCATGTGCTATGACATTTCTAAGAATTCATTAACCACTGAATAAACACGGCATCTATTTTAAATATACATTAATTAATTCTGTGTTGTGTGTGTGCATGCTAGAGTGTACATATATTCACTGTGTGTGTGCAGAAGCCTTCAGAGGTCAGAAGCAGGAGTCTGATCCCTTGGAACTGGAGTAACAGGTGATTGTGAGCACTGAATCCTGATCCTCAGCAAACCAAACCTGGGTCCTTCTCAAGAGCAGTAATTGCTGAGGTATTTCTTCAGCCCCTACCTGTTTTTGTATCAGTTTCCATCAAAGATCTGTGGGATTTTTTTAAAAAAAGGTCCTGTCCTGTGTGCACATGTGGGTAAGTCCAAGCTCCTGCTTTTACACGTTACTAATTTATTCTTTTTAAATATCAAAAATAGGAGATTCTCCTGTGTAGCGAGTGGTTAAATTTTTTTTTGTATATCTTGCTGTTACAGAGGATCTGGAGAACATTAAACAGAATCTGTCTCTAACTGGAGAGGGACCTTCCCTTTGGTCTGGATGAATGTGAATTAAAAAAAAAAAAAAAAAAAAAGCAGCTCGTTTCCTGGTGGTAGAGTGTGTGTTCTGTATTTTTGCATCACCTTTTATATCACCTTTTATATCACCAGAAGTCTGTTAAAATTATACATAAGGTTAATTTCAGCAATTCCATTTTAGCTATAGGAAAATACTTTAAATTTAAAAGTACCAAGTTCTTATGTCGTGATTTAAAGCCAAACCTTAGTTAATTTTTGTCATAAAATCATTTTTGCAATGTATTTGTCATAAAAACACAGGCAAGTGATGTTTAAAAACAATACAACAGTAAAAGTTGAAACTGGTAAACATGTACACAGTTTAAATGGAATTTAGCACCTCCTTACTGTAATAGACAAAAGAACCTCTGGATTTGTCTAAAATAAAACTAAGCAGTGAATGACATGCACTCTGGGCAGCCACTGCTTGTGAAGCAGTGAAGACACAGCAGTGGGAAGGTATTAACATGCCAACAGCTGGGGAGCTCAGAGAGCAGAGCCCTGGGCGACACCACATGAAGTCACAAAACTGCATCAGTCATTCCACAAAACTGCATCAGTCGTTCAGGACTGAAGGTCGGCAAGGATGTGGGAAAATGGCCATTTGTATGCACTGGTGAAACATGTTTATATAAGAAAATTGGGCAATAGTCATCAAAATGATCAATGCACACCTTGTGGAGTAATCTTTTTGCACACTGTGAAGATGTGTCTTTGCCTTCTGATTGGTTTAATGAAGAGCAAATTGGCTAATAGCTAGGCAGGAGGTATAGGCGGGACTTCCAGGCACAGAGAGGACTCTGGGAAGAAGAGAGGCAGAGAAGACAGCCAGGTGCAGAATGAGTTGGACACACAGAATGAGATAGAGGTAAAAGCCACATAGAAGAATATAGATGAATAAAAATATGGATTAATTTAAGTTATAAGATCTAGTTAGGAACAAGCGTAAGCTATAGGCCAAACTTTCATAATTAATAATAAGTCTCTGTGTCATTACTTGTGAACAGATGGCCAAAAGAAAAGTCCATTACAGCACCCAGGCTGTCGTCCAGCAACTCTGTGTCTAAGAACATCAGTCCCATATCTATCTACCAAACAGTGCAGGCAAGTCACTAGAGCACTGGGCTCGGTGCTAAAAATCTACAAACAGCCTAAATATCTACTAGGAAGGGGGCTAATTCCATATTTTGACTGCATACAACAATCCATCTTTAAAGTGTAAAAAGCAGTAAGATATCTGTTCTGGTGATAGTCAGATGGATAGATATTCAAGACATAACTTTAAAAACAGAGAGCAGAACAGTGTGTTCTGTATATTTATAACTTATATAAGAAGCTTAGGGCTTAGGGCTGCAGCTCAGTGATAGATGTTTGCCTGGCGCGCATGAAGCCTGAGTTCAATACCCAGCACCAAAGAGAAAGAAGTTTTCAAAGGTGCCTATGGTGGGCTGGGGAAGTGCTCAGTCAGTGAAGAGCTTGCTGAGCAAGTATAAGGATGCGAGTCTCACTTCTAAAGATCTATTTAAGAAGCCAAACACAGCATCTAGCGGCATAGCAGTGTGCACCTGTCATCCTGACCCTGGGGAGGCAGACACAAGAGGATCCCTGGGGCTTGCCGGCCAGCCAGGCAAGTCAGCAATCTACAGGTTCAGTGAAGGGCACTGTCTCAACAAACAGGAAGCTGGTGAGCAAGGAAGGAAGAACTGAACATCTACCTCTGGCCCACACATGTGCACACACATATGTACACACACACACACACACACACACACACACACACTGCACCTTTTTAAGAAGTCCAATGACACTGGGCATGGTGGCTCGTTCCTGTAATCTCAGGGCTTGGGAGGCTGAAGCAGGAGGGTCATGAGGCTCAGGCTAGTATGAGTCACACAGTGAAACTTTATCTCACTATAGATGCATTTAAAATATTGTTTGTTTAGTGTTACTGTATGAGTGTGTATGTGTGTGCATGTGTGTGTGCAGATCAAATGACAACTCTTAGGACTTGGCTCTTGGCTTCCACCATGTGGGTCCTGGAGATTGGACTTAGGTCAAATTGAGTAGTAAGTGCTTTTACGTGCTGAGCCAACTCATCCATCCACCAAAAATGTGCTTTTCCAACTCAAATTTTTACCAAGAATGATGTGAAAATATACTGTGGCAATTATTTCAAGCTATTCTGGGTATTTCTCTTTCGTGGTTTCTTTCTTTCTTTCTTTTTCATTTTTTTATTTGAATTAGAAAAAGATTGTTTTGCATGTCAATCCCAGTTCCCTCTCCCTCCCCTCCTCCCCTGCCCCCCCAACTAATATACATACCCTTTCTGCTCCCCATGGAGGGTGAGGCCTTCCATAGGGGTCTTCAGAGTCTGTCATATCCTTTGGGATAGGGCCTAGGCCCTCTCCCGTGTGTCTAGGCTGAGGGAGTATCCCTCTATGTGGAATGGGCTCCCAAAGTCCATTCCGATGCTAGGGATAAGTACTGATCTACTACAAGAGGCCCCATAGATTTCTGAGGTCTCCTCACTGACACCCACGTTCATGGGGTCTGAATCAGTCCCATGCTGGTTTCCCAGCTATCAGTCCAGGGACCTCCTCCATGGTTTCTATGGCACACTTCATTCAGCACCTTTGAAAGACAGCCCATCACCCCTCCCTCATGTAGTCCTGGATTCTCAAAATAGTTTAGCCTTGGGAAGGTGCTTGCTTGACACTCTGGTATTGACAAGTATCTTCCACCCAATACTCCAAACCAGGAGACTCCACATAAATGCACCTCACTTCAAACCCAAGAGGAGAAACATGAATAAAGACACCAAAATAATGCAAAACTTTCAATACTTACAGATACATCAGACATTAAACATGATCCAGCTCCTCCCAACAAGATTAATGGAAAGCTACAATGTGACCTCTTTATTTTATTCTTATAAAATAAAGTGACTGATGCCGATTTTAGAAAGTATTCTAAAAAGAAGAAAGAATACAGTCTATCTAGATGGACAAACCAACAAGACTCACACATGCACACATTGGACTCATCAAAGATTTTTAAATGTCTCTGAATAATCTGCTAAGGAAACTGAAATGAGAAGTAGATAACATACGAGAACAGGAAAGCAATGCAAAGAGAGATGAAAATGTTCAAACAGTACCACTAAGCATAGTTAGAAAATCAAAATGCAGTAGCAGAAATGGGAAATGCCTTTAATAGGCTCTAAATCAACAATGCAGCAAAAAGAAAGAATCCAATAACTTGAAAATAGTCAAAAAAAAAGCACCCCATTGTGAACTGTAACAAGAAAACAAACAGAACAGAACATCTAGGAAGTGTGAGATACGAGCAAAAAGCATAACGAATGTGTAACTGGAACTCCAGATCTTAAGAGTGGAGGAGCTGGGCACCCTTGACAGAGGCTTGATGAAGCTCTGGGTGGTTCAGTTCCAGCATACACAAAACCAGCACAGTGGCTCATGGCCATGATTGCAGCGCACCGGAGGTAGAGACAGAAGACCAGAAGTTTAAACTCATCCCAGCAACACAGTGAGTTTGAGGTCAGCCTGGGCTACGTGACCCTGTCTGAAAAAAAGAAAAGAAGAAGACAAAGAAATGGAAGAAAGAGGAGAGCAGAGCAAAGAGGAAAACAGGAGAGGGAGGGGAGAACAAACGAAATATTTCGGGCAGTGATGGCTGAAACTTGCCAGAACTACTTTACAGATACTATTAGGGACCTAGGAAACTTAAGGAACAGCAAACAAGATAAACGCCTCAAATAAAGACCAAAGTGCAAACATCCACTCCTTAAATTGAAGCAAACCCCAAACAGAGAAGACTTAAAAGACACCAGAGGGCGTGGGAACACAACCATTCCTACAGAGGGATGAGGATGAGAACGACAACAGATTTCCAGCTATCAGTAAGATGGTGACGTGGAGGGAAATGCCCAGGATGGAGTTCTGTACAAGGCGGTGAGATTCAGGCTGGAAATGTGGCTGAGGAGTTACGACCATTGCTGTTCTTGGCAGAGGACCAGAGTTTGGTTCCCAGCACCCACATTAGGTGATTCACAACCTCCTGTATCTCCAGCTTCAGGGTATCTAGCACCCTCTTCTGGCCTCCTTGGGCACCTGTACTGATGCCCACACACACACACACACACACACACACTCACACACAAATACACACACATACACACACACACATACACACACACACACACACACACACACACACACACACACACACATACACACACACACACACACACACACACACACCACACTTACACACACTTTCTTAAAACAATAAGGTAAATATTTTTAAGTGAAAAGACCTAAAACAAAAAACAAAAACAAACAAACAAAAAGCCCCCAAACAAAAACCCTTTGTGCTTCGAAGGACACTGTCTGGAAGTGAGAACCTATAGAATGGGATGGCAATTTGAAAGTGATAAAGGTCTAATCTCTAGAATATTTTTTAAATAAAAATGGAATAATAAAAAGACAGCTAGTTTTTAAAATGGACAAGGTACTCAAATAGACATGCATTTAAAAAACACACAAATTACCAACAGGTACCTTAAAAGGTGCTTAGTGTGTCAACAGTTATTAGGGAAATCAGACCAAGACTACATAGAGACACCATCTCCCTCATATTGAAATGGCTAGAAGAAAATGGACAATAAAAGACAGGAAGTATGTACAGAAATGAACCCACACACTCTGCCACTGAGATAAAAATAGTGTAGTCTGTTTGGCAATGGTCAGGAAGTTCCTCAAAAGGTAAAACAAGTGCAGTATGACCTATGATCCTACTCCTAGAGATACCGCCAGAAGAACCAAACCAACATGTTTTATTCAAAGCTAGAACACAGAAGCCCACATGACCAGTACTGGAAAGAGCTGAAATGCTTATCTTCTTAATTGTGGAGAAACAGAATGTGGCATATCCACACAATGGACTATTATGTAGTCATAAACAAGAATGAAGACCTGGAACGCTGCTAGAATATGAGGGGGGCCTCAAAAATCACCATGCTAGATGAATGGAAGTAGTTAAGAGATGCTGTTTACTGTAGGACTCTGCTTATACAGTATGTTCAGAACAAACACACCCATAAAGAGGAAGTGGAACAGAGATTGCCAGGGGATGACAGGAAGTATTGGAAGTGACTGCTAAGAGGTATGGGGTTTGTTGTGAGGGATTATGGATTAGATAGTGATGACAGACACAACCTTGTGGATGTGCTAACAGTCATTGAACTGTACACTTTAAAGGTGGACTTTATTGTATGTGGATTTTTACCTCCCTCCCCCAGCTGAAAGCAAAGGAGAAAGACTCTGGACACAAAACCTGGAGCTCACTGCTGACAGGCCATGCTGAAAATGATCAAATTCTTAAGGCAGAAGAAACATGATAGGAGTCAGGGATGTACATGTCTGTAAAGACAGGGAGAGTGGCAGAGAAGTAATAAATAGAGGAAAATCAAATCTCTTGTTTTTTCCTAATTTTTAAGACATCAGCGTTATAGTGGTGTGTGTGTGTGTGTGTGTGTGTGTGTGCTCGCGAGAGAGAGCGTGCTCGAGAGCATGCCTGTGCTGTGTGTATGAGTGGAGAACAGAGGACTACTTTGTGGGATCAGTTCTCTCCTTCAGCCCTTTCTGAGGACTGAACCCAGGTTTCCAGGGTTCCTCAGCAAGCATCTTTAGCTGCTGAGCCATCTGCTTGGCCCCTGGTTTTTTGTTTGTTTGTTTGTTTGTTTGTTTTTCATTGATTAAAAAAGAAAACCATTTTCCTAAAGCAAAAAAAAAAAAAAAAAAAAAAAAAAAAAAGCAACATGTGGCAAGTGTGGTGGTGTAGGCCTATAATCCCTGAACTTGGGAGGTAGAGGCAGGAGGATCGGGAGCTCAAGGTCTTCCTCAGCTCCACAGTCACTCAAGGCCTCCCTGGGCTGCGTGAGACCCATCTCAAAGAGATCAAAACAGAGTGAAAAATGCACTGTGTGTTTATAGCACAAGGGGCAGTGAGCTGGATGACAGTAATGTCCCAAGGATGTAGGGGACCTTGGAAATAATCCGTCCCACACACCAGAGAGGCATAGTATAAAATGTGTGTTATCTGAAGATGGGTGTTTATCAGTTTATAAGTAGTCACATTCTAGTCTCTCTCCCTCCTCTCCCTGCCCCTGTCCTCTCTCTCTCTCACCCTTTCAGCACTGCTGAGGAATTAGAGCAGGGCCTTGTACACGCTGGACTTTATGTGCTCCAACTCATGCCTTCAACCCCAAAGCCTCACTAACTTCACAGTGTTGGTATGGAAGTGACTCTGGTCTCCAATCACAGCACCCTTAAGGTACAAGCTGGCCAGAAACTGAGTTAAAATTCCTACATATTGGGAAATTTTATAACACATTAAATATAGGATCAAGGCAACAGTGGATACTTTTTGGATATTAGAAATTAAGAATGGCAGCACTCACATATCAAAACTAATGAGATTACAGCCAAAATCTGCGTATTGAAGGGAAATGTTTAGTTTAAAATACTTAATATAAAGTTGATGAACGACTGAAATTGATAATATACACATTCAATTCTCCTGGTGTAGAAAAATACAGAACAATTCAAAGAAAAAGAGATAAAATAAATACAAGAGAAGAAAGTAGTATGAATATATATCTAAACCTGAAAATTCATTGTGTAACCTTCAAGTAAAATGCATTGAGGAAAGAGAGTTAAGATATAAACAATATTATAAATGAAAAAGATGGAAACAATTATATATAAAATAAAGTATTATGAAAACAGTATGATCTGCAATCATGTCAAAGATGGAATGAGATTCTACACAATATAATTTAACAAAATGAATGAAAAGAAGCCACATATGCTGTGAAGAAGCTGAAGCACAGGTTAAATCCTTTTCCATGATGATACCAGTCCCACATGGCTTTGTTCGTACCCTTCCACACCAAAGAGACAGATCATCGTGGTCTTGTTTAAACTCTTCTCAGAGGAGAAGAAAGAAGGGATGCTCCCAGGTCAACTCCGCTCAACTCCGGTAGCACACACGGACAAATTAGAAGGAAAAATAAGAGTGTCATCTCACCTATGGGCAGGGAATCGAAATGTTAAACTAGATCTGACGATGTATTCAAATGAGCAAGGTCACCCACCCACTGATGCAGGACAGATCAGTATTTGTAAAAACTCTGGAAACACAGCTGAGCATTGGATAAAGTAACATAAGCACACAGTCAAAAGCTTTAGCAAATCAGGAGGAAGAGAGTCTCCATAGCACAATACAAAGTATAGGGGGAAAAATCTTACAGAGAACAAGACTGGTGATGGGGACGCAGTAGGGGGAAAAGATTTATGAGATTATTATCAAGGTGCTAAGCTTTTTCAAAGTGCATGTGTGTTTGTGTTCACATGTGTATGTGTACATATATGTGCATGCCCATGTGTGTGGAAACCAGAAGTCAAGCTCACGTGTTGTTCCAACCAGATCCAGCCCTGGGATTTTTCATGATCTCTCAGTGGGACCTGGGACTTGCTGATTATGCCAGGCTAGCTGGCCAATGAGCCCCAGGGATGCTGTATCTGTTTTCTCAGTTCTGGGATTATAATTGCGTTACCACACCTGGCTTTCTTACCTGGGTGCTGGGGGTTGAATTTAGGTCTTCAAATGCTTGCCCAGCAAGTTCTTTACAGGCAGAGTCATCCCCCCCAGTCCCCAAAGCCCTATTTTTTTTCATGTTGAGTTTGAGTTCCCATAGATTCTTATGTGTTACAGGAATCAGTGGACAAGCAAATATCTGTAGACAAGAGGATGTCATAAACCAGAGATTCCAAAGTGCAGCTCCTGGGCCTACAGCAACAGCATCACCTGGAGACTTGTGAAGATTGCCCATCTCCACAGCCTCACCCAGATCTGCTGAGCAGAAACCCTGGGGGTGGAGCCTAGCAGCGCATTTTAACACACCCTCCATGGGATTCTGATGCCTCGGCATCTGATGGCCATCAAATTCTCCTTCTTATCTGACTTTTAAACTAGATGGAAAAGCAGCCAGTCATATCTCTTCTTCACAGTGCCCTCACAGCAAACATAAAAGGAAGAAAACAGAACCTGTTACAACTCTTAACAAAGTAATCCCTAATACTAGAATTTGCTGATCTTCATAGTTTCAGATTTTATCCTAAACAGAGCCCCGAGTGGGAGCATTTTCAGAAAAGTAGTAACTTCTGTATAGGGGAAGGGGACCCCTAGAAAGGCCTGTCATAGTTTGAAATGAAGGTGGACTTAGGCATTAGACCAGGACACCACGTGGGACCACAGAGAGAGGAAGTCTAGAGAGGTCAGAGAATGTAGCTTGTGTTTCAGGTGTGCAGTCACTGCTGCCCATGACGACATGCAATTCAAGGTGCAGCATTCTTCTGTAGATGTCGGAGGAGTAGAAACGTCTAGTCTTCAGAGCCCAACTGTACCTTGTGAACCTCTGCCAGCTCGTAATCCATCCTTGCCGTCCTCTTCAGAAAACCGGCCTTGGTGGTGATGACTCTGGGCTTTGGAGGTATGATCCTTGGCTGTGTCACAAAGTCAGGGAGACACGCTTCAAGTTCCACCAACCCTGTGGGAGGAAGCGTGCGGTTTTTAGAGTCCAGCGCTTACATTTAACTTGCCGACTGTTAGGTGTACTGATAGGTCTTTGAGCTTTGGAAGGTGCCATCTCTTAAAAGGATAAAGTGTTTCTAAAGTGTAAAGTATGAGGAGTTAGCGTCTGCTTGGTGACCTGTGTGGCACAGTGAGAAACTGCTCTAAAATGAAGATGTGTCCTACAGAAAGGAGAGCCAGAAGCCAGCAGCAAGTCCACACAGCTTTATGACAGATGGTGCCCCTATTCTAAAGTGGGTGCTCACCAACTCATGGCATTTTGCTCGGGAAACACCAGCCAGGGCTCTGGGTTCAGGAGTCTGACCACTAACTAACTCATCATCTTGGCCAAAGGATGTGTCAGCTTGTGAGCTGAGCTTTGAAAATTTTAAACACGTCTCTTGGGCTTCATGAGAGGCACAGAACTCTTCTTGACTACCTGGTGACTGCTCTGCCTTCTAGATTTCTGATGCATTTGATTTCATTATAAATATCTTATTTGTTTCATAAACCTAGCATAAAGAGTTTTTTTTTAATGAGAATATATTTCAAAACTTGATTGTGGGCATTTGCTCTTAAGTAGAAATCTTGCTAAGAAAGTTGCCCAGGCTAGCCCTAAACTTCGGGACTCTGGTGAGCTGTTTGTCACCAGCTCTGAGGGTTTGGAATCAGACATTTGCTACTACACCTAGCTACCAAGTTTAGTAGCTAACTGAATTTGCTCTTTGTTAAATTATTCTACGGGCTGTTCTTCTTTCTGATCCTGAGTTTTTATTACTTCATATGGAGCTGTATGGGCCAGCATATAAACCCTGCTTGCTGGTGCTTTTTCAACTATTCTATGGTTTACCTTCGTAGGTATTGAGATAGTGGTTTCTGACCACGAAGTCCTCTGAGTTGTTGTCTGGGAAACGGCCAAGACGGGACAGAGGTCCATAGACCTGAGATGCAAAATCGGCGTATTCCTTGATGATGTCTCTTCTCTGCAGCTTCCCTTCTACATTCTTCCCTCTTCTCATAAGCTTTCTGATGTCTGAAAGGAGAAGCACTGCCACGACTCTCTCCCAGATAGGTCTCTGAATTGCAAATGCAGAATAGCAACGCAACTCTAGTTTGGTTCCACAGGAAGATACGGAGCTGAGTGAATTCTGCGATGGCCCACAAGAACCAGAATGAGGTGCTAAAAACAGGTCTGCCACCTGTGTGGCTCTGAGTACCATGACAGGCAGGGGTACCATGGATCGGCTAGTGTCCTCAATGTGGAGTCACACACGCACACACGCATCCACCCCACACACACACATCTCTTTTGATAACCGCAAGCTCTGGGCTAAGAAGTCACTAGAAGTTTGTGAAGTAGCTGGAAGCAACTCAAAGTAAATGAAAAATATATGTTGTGTGGGATGCTAGATGAACCCACTCTTGTAAAGAGGGCACTGCAGGTTCATGCCCGCTAACACGGGGATTTCAGAGCATGTCCTGGCTCATAGCCTTCAGCCTGGCTTACTGGGTAGAGGGAGAAGGTGCATTTGTGCACGTCCAAACGCTCATCTGGGCAGTCATGCATTCACTTCCATTCGCTCTTCCTTCAATTCTACCCACAGAGCCACCCCTTGTCACAGCTCTCCCCGGGCCACTGCGAACAGGTGTGAAACCCTGTCACAAAAGAGTGAGGAGTCATACGGCAGGAGGCCCAGAGCCACTGCTGCCTTGAACCCGTTGTTCATGGTTCATCTGCCGGGCTTTTTATGTGACTTGGTATGTTGGAATTTGCATTCAACTATCTATAGAAGTTAGCCAAATCCATCACTAGCTATGTCATGTACTGAAAAGAAAAATGTCAACAACTTCTAAATACACAGCCAACAGCTAGATCGAGGTTAGATTAAGAAAATAAAAACAGAAGCTGAGTTTACAAAAAAAAATTAAGTAAGATTTAATTTCGGAAAAAAAGACATTTTTCATCTATTTATTTTAAAATGTGATTGAGTTTGCTATATAAACTGCTAATTTGGCTGCACTGGTCATAAAATTCTTCATTTTTTTCATGAATTTGGGACAATTGGAAAGCTTTCACAACTGTTTTTAAATTTGTTTTTTAAATTAGTTCTTTGAGAATTTTGTATAGTGTGGTTTGATTATATTTTCCCTTCCTCAGTCCTCCCAGATTCACTCCTCCCTTTTCCTATGCACCCAATTTAGTGTCCTATTTTCTGTTTATTTGTTTGTTTCATGCATCAAATCTAAATTGTGTTGTTCATATATTCTTGGGTGTGTAGCTTTCCAATGGGGTGTGGCAACTTTTCAGGGTCAACACTCTGAAAAGGTAATGCAGTGTTTAAAAAGTTGATTGCCTCCTATTGTGTGTGTGTGTGACTGTATGTGTGTTGGAGGCTGCCAAGTGCCATGGTACATGTGTGAAGGTCGAGAACAACTTTTGGGGGAGTCAGTTCTCCTCTTCCACGGTGTAGGTCCTAAGGAGCAAACATTTACCCACAATCTCAATGGCCTCGATAATACAACTTTATAGGCAATTTCAAACGTTTTCTCAGGAGAAAAAAAATCTACAAAATTAAATGCCAATGATTCGAGTTTCTAATGAAAATTTTAACTTGAATTCTTAGTTTAGTTCTTCTTTGTGTGTGTTGCATGTTCTTGTGGTGGATGCACACGTGTGTGGGAGGGTGAACGCCTGTGCTAGCAGGTGCGGAGATCAGAGGAGGAGGCCAGAGGAGGACGCTGTGTGCTCTGTTCCAGCGCTTTGAAACAGGCTCTCTCACTGAACTTGGAGTTCGCTATTTCAGACACACTGGCTGTTCATCACTCCCCTCCCGCCTCCTTTGTATTGGGTGACAGGCACCCAGGGCCGCACCTGATTTTTCACAGGGGTGCTGGGGATCTGAACTCATGTCTGTGCTTGCACAGCAAGTGTGCTTAGTCACTAAGCCAGCTCCTCAGCCTCTGACGTAGTTATTGTTACTCCTGCCCTGAATAAATAGTAAAGTGAATGTTTCTTGTTTTTATACATAAAGTGAAAATCTATAATCATGGGATATATAAGCATGAATATATCTGTGACATTAAAAACTTCTTGGAGAAAAGCAATTAGGAAAAAGGAAGACTAAAATATCTTAAGGGGCAAGAATGAAAACAAAACAAAACAAACAAACAAAAAAAAAAAAAAAAAAAACCCAGTCAATCAATAGACTTTCTAAGCAGAGCCTGGGGCTAGGAATGTGGAGAACCTAATACCAACACGGGCATGTGTGCGTGTGTCAATAACATGACTGCCTGCTAGAGATGGCCACTTGACTTTCTTATTGGTTTTCCTCAAATGCCCACCTTCCAAAAGTAACTCCTCTCTCTCCCTTCCCTAAGTGATACACTAGGACCAAATCATAGCTCAGTAGGGCCTGGTCAAAAACCCAAAGCTCCGCCCCCTCCCTGACCAGCTCATGCCATATATTACTTGACACGTGTGTGTGCTGGATCTGCACCATTTTTGCCTCCTTCGCCTCCTGCAGTCTACACCACTGGTCGTTCAGGTGCCTGGTGTCCAGCTCGTTCTGGTTCTCCTCGCGCCTCCTCAGCAGCTGTTTCAGAACCTCCAGTCGCAGGTCCTGCAGTCTTGGGGTGGGTTACAGAGTATTACCATGTCAAGCCGGGAAGTTCTGTTTAAGAGAGCCACAGCAGGCCCTTCTGGTGAGCATCATAGATAGTCATGTGCTTTACGAAGACCACTGTGGCAAAAAATGGGACAAGGGAGTTGAAATCCAGGGGAGGACACTCCGGCAGCAGATCTCCATACAGTAGGAGGGTGGGGAAGGGGGCGCGTGCATGCACACAGTCCTGAAGACGAAGAGCAGACGGCAAAGCAGGCAGATGGGGGTAAGAGACTGGCTCTCTAAGCATCTGGACGGAAAGAACAAGAGATGTGTGGGCAGTTCTAGGCTAACTGAAGAGTTAAGAAGAAAGTGAAGAAAGCTGGGGTGGTAAGCGATCTTGACACAGGGCTGGCTCCCACACATAGTAGGAACTCTGTTAACCTTCACCTTCCTTCAGACATCCGCGACCCCTGCTCGTGTGTCCTGGCTTACACATCCAGCCACCAAGTGAAGTCTATGCCCCCAGCTGCTTCGGAACCAGTGTTTCCGCCTGCTTGGACCCCTGCTGTCTCCTGCTGATCTCAAAAGAAAACAAGCACAAATCCTACTCATTCTGGTCTATCCCTGTTTCCCCTCTGCAGGCCTTTCCTCTTCTAGATGCTTCTTGTTCCTCTCCTCAGCTCTCTCCTACCCTGTCCTCGCAGCTGAGAGTCTCCCTCCCTTCCAGTCTCTGTTCCACAAAAGCCGTCAGGCTTTTCCTTGTCACAACCCAGCTCTGTACATGTCCCACTCCCGCTTGGAAATCCATTCACTAGTTTGAGCACACATCTGTCAGACGTTTATGAAGTGCCTGCTGTATGCCAGGCAGGGCAATGACAAACAAGACACACTGCTGGCAGCCGGGCTCACAAGCCAACCCTACAACACAAGATCAGTTTCAGGCCAGGAGGAAGAAAGGAGCTCGGAGGTACAAGCAGGGGAGACTAAGAGGGAGGAAGACAGGGGTAGGGTTTACTACATTTCCAAAGGGGAAGTCCAGCCTCAGCCAGGGAGCTGAAATGGTTCAAAGGGCCCTGGGAAGCCTAGTGTGGTGTGCACACCAGCACATGGAAGACCGAGACAAGTGAACACAAGTTCAAAGCCAGCCTGGACTACATAGGGAAATTCTGGCTCAGAAAAGATCAAGGGGAAGTTGGGGTGAGAGTAGGGGACCAGAGAGAGGACAGGCATGTCTCAGACCTTCTCTAAGTGCCAACAGCGGGGTGGGAGGGGAGCCAGGCAATAACTGTTTCTGGAGAGGCAGATGCTTTTAACATTAAGGCCACACAGCAATAGTCCCCCTGATTCCCAGAGTGAAAGATATGGTTACATGCTACACAATGAATTGGGGCTAACAATGGGTCTTCCATACTATGATGATCCCATAACATTGTTAGGAGGCTGAACAATTCATGTCATGTACTGATGGCACAGCTACTTGAGCCGCCATAGCGCAAAAACATTATTCCTGTTTATGGTGATGTTGTAAACAGACCTTCTGGGCAGCCAGCCATGTGAGTTCACAGCAAATACAATAATGTATGACACTTGATAATGGTAACAACCCATTATGTAGGCTGACAGATTTACTCATCTTGCTTATTGTTGGTTTATTTATTTATTTAGAGACAGGGCCTCATGTAGACCAGGATGACCTCAAACTCAATATACCGTCATAGGTGGTCTTGAACTCCTGATCCTCCTGCCTCAGCCTGCTGAGTGCTGACATTACAGGCCTATACCTCCAGGCCAGGCTTTTGTTGTTATTTTTCTACTGTGTTATTTTTTAAAGTTTATTGTAAGAATTTACTGCCATGTTAATGCTGGTGGCAGCCTCGTACACCACATATTTACCACATATTCAGTCACATCGGAGGGCCACACTGAGTGACCTTTAACTGTCCAGGTTGAGTAGGTGCACTCTGAGATTCACCCAGCAATGGATGGGCTCAGTCAGCAACACATTTCTCAGAACACATCATCCCACTGCTAAGCAGGCAGTGACTGTACTGGGTGGTACCAGGGTCACTTCTCCATTCTGCTTTTACTTCAGTTTCTTCCTTTGCAAAAATGGAGGTGATAATATCTCCCTCAAGATGTTGTTGTGGGCATTAAATGAGAAAATGCACACAAACTTCTCCAACTTAACTGTGAAACGGAACTGTCTGGAAGGTTTGCTCTGACATGGACTGATGATTCTAACCTTCTGATTCGGTAGGCTTTGGATGAGCCCAAGACCATGGGTTTCTAGAAAGTTCTCAGAACACTGTGTGTGCAGAGCGAGTATTCTGAGCGATGTGCTCTCTACCTTTCTGTGGCAGAATATTAGTGCACGGTGTAAAGGTATGTCTCTGCCTAAGGCAGCTTCGGATTGATTTAGTAAAGAGATGAATGGCCAAAATAGCTAGGCCAGGGAAGAAGAGGAGGGATCTAGGCACGTGGATTTCACCAGAGACTCTGAAGAAGTTGGACATACAGTACAGAACAGAGGTAACTGAGCCACAGGGCAGAATGTCGATTAAAAGAGACAGGTTAATTTAAGCTATAAGAGCTAATTGGAGAAAAAAAAAAAAGCCTAGGCTTCGGCAAAGTTCTCATAATAATATTAAGTCTCTGAGTCATTACTGGGGAGCAGGGGTCCCACAAAAGGTAGTCCAACAAAAGTTTGTTACACCTTTCCCCTTCATTATCACTGTTACTAATGGCTTCCTGCTCTCCCTGCAGCATGAAGCCTCCTCTCCCAAGTCTCCCATCTCAAAGAGCTCTTCCTAGCATTAACACACAGCCCAGCACATTGCCTGGTGGCTGCCTCAAGGAGGGGAACAGGCTCGTGCCTTATCCTCCGGTCCCTCTCACCCTCGGCCCCAATAGGCCACAAGCAGCTCTGCTGAGAGACAGAAACCATGCATTCACCTGGCTTCACCATCTGTCTCATAGTGCAGAGTCCCAAACAGGGGAGACTTGAAGCGTGCTGATTAAAATTGGCCTCGGTTATCAATCCCCTTCTGAGTCCATCCCTCTGGCCAGAAGCACTCTAAATACCTTAATGCCTTCTTACAAGACACATTCCTCTCCAAAGAACAGCAACCAGTTTAAATGTCTACAGACCACAGAACGCATTGAGTGTGCCTGCCACACACATGGTTTTCCAATGAATTGTTGGCTTTTTACCGAAACTTCACATAGTCTGGATTCAGGCTTGATCAAAAAGGAATTGAAGAAAAAAATTAAATTCAGCAACAGACTGAGTCCTCTCCTGGCCCTTCCCTTGTTCCTTAAGGGCTTTGATAGCACAGAGGAGCAGTATAGGCTCAGCACAAACCGGAACAAATGCCAGTCTCAGCAAACACCTTCCCTGCATGCTTGGTAAGGAGCCTTTCTTCCTTAATAATTCCTCATCATTTCAACAACAACAACCTCATTACCAAAAAACACACCAGGAGAATGTGCTCGAAGCACATTATGCACATGCTGAAATGGCCTTATGTGATACAATATAATAACAATCACTGTCCTCGTCAGCACCACCATCAGCTAAAATGATTGAAAATGGAAGAAGTTCCCAGACAGTGTCAGTTATGCATGTTGCTATGCAAGCTCATTTCTTCGTGGACAAAGTCTCCACAATCTGCCATTCCTGTGGGAAGCGCTACATTAGTCTAGCTAGAACCCAGGTGTTCTATGAGCTGTGGCTGGTGGGAATGAGGGGGCTGTTTTATGAGACAGACATAGAGGGGCCTGCTGCCTAGGTGTGCTGGTTCTGTGAATGAACCAAGGGGCATCTCCAAGATGCTTTGCAGAAATCACTGGGGCTCCACAACAGTCAGGAAAAGTCCTGGAGCCATTCATTGTTCAGCTCCTGGGTTTCACGTTGAATTTCACAGACCAAGGGCAGTATACCTTTCCATGAGCAGGATGAAAATTACACAGAGCCCTAGTACCACACTGGAATGGGTGGCTGCTCCCGAAGGAGCTAGAAGCCCAATTTCCTATCTGCACAGGGTGATGATTGTTTTTAAACACAGATCTTTGGGGGAAATGCTTCCAGCTTAAAAAAAAAATAATAAAGTGGCCACCCATCACTCAGGAGGCAGAGGCAGGTGGATGGATCTCTAGGTTCAAGGACAGCCTGGCCTACCAAGTGAATTCTAGGACAGCCAGAGCTACACAGAGAAACCTTGTCTCAAAAAAATACAAAATAATAATAATAATAATAATAATAATAATAATAATAATAATAGAACATTGCTCTTACCAACCCAAGAGCCAGAGAACCTACTTTTCAATCTCTCCCTCTCTGAAGGCCCATTCCTTCCGCTCCATGGCATTCATCATCTCCCTCCTCTTCTCAAAGTGGAAGATGTCACTCAGTGGGGGAAGAGAGCCTTCCCAGGCACGCTTCTCCCGGGCCCGTTCTATCATCTCCACCTCGGCTTGTCCTGCTGGGAGACCTCGGCCTGCAGGGGATGTCACAGCTCAGGAACGCAGGGTGTACCCACAAACCTCCTGCCCTGCTCTAAATGCAAGGGTTAGGCTACAACATGGATGTCGCCGGGAAAAGCTCCCTGGATGCCTCAAAACTGTATCCCTCATGCCTCCACTTACTGAAGCAGAAGCTGTTCTGGTTGCATACATGTTCAAGGAAAGCACTGGGGAAACGGTCGATGACCACTGAATGATCATACCTTCAAATGTCCTGTACAAGACAGGTCCATCTTTTAAAAGACAAAGAGGGGGCTGGAGAGATAGCTCAGTGGTGAAGAGTACTGGCTGATCTTCCAAAGGACACAGGTTCAGTTCTCAGAACCCACATATTGCCTCAAAGCCATTTGTTAACTCCAGTTTCAGGATCTGGCGCCCTCTTCTGGCTTTGTGGGCACTATACACATGTGGTACACAGACATATATATGCAAATCACCCACACACTTGGAAATGAAATTTCCAAAAACGTTAAATACAGAGAGGGGAAATATATCAGAGATTAGGGATTTGTTCTTAAAAAGAAACATACTTAAAAAAAGAACAGATGAAAGAAATCGCCATTAGCTGGTAATCTTCCTTGCATTTATAGTAAATATACCATCTAGGACTATGCCTCACCTCCACATTTAAGAGTTCAAGTACTTATGGAGTCGTGGCTATGGCTCCTGACCAGCTCAGAATCACAAGCCAACACCCAGCTCAACTTAGGCTTCTCTGGCACAGGTGTTGGGAACTCGGTCACACATTTGGTGGCTAGTGGATCTAAATGCAGCTTTGACTTGGTGCATATCTTCACAGGACCAAAAACTACTAAAGGAAATAGGTGTCAAGTGAGTTTCCTGTTTAATATGTTAATTTTTTTTTTTTTTTTTTGGTTTTTCGAGACAGGGTTTCTCTGTGGCTTTGGAGGCTGTTCTGGAACTAGCTCTTTTAGACCCGGCTGGTCTCTAACTCACAGAGATCCTCTGCCTCTGCCTCTGCCTCTGCCTCCCAAGTGCTGGGATTAAAGGCGTGCGCCACCAACGCCTGACTTTAATATGTTAATTTTTTCATTAAAAAATAATTATTCAGAAGTCTAAGGAAAAAAATTCTACCACATACGATGAGCTGTTTTGTTTTGTTTTGTTTTTAATTTTCTAATCTATTGGTTCCAAGTCCCTTGTTCACTCATCAATGGAAATACTTTGAATTCATTTAATGTATAAAGAAATATGTAAGTTTAAAGAAATGATTAGGGCCTGGAATAAAGGCTCAACAGTCAAGAGTGCATGCTGTTCTTGTAGAAGACCAGAGTTTGGGTTCCAACACCTCTATCAGGTGGCTCACAACAGCCTATAACTCCAGCTCCAAGGGGTCCAATGCTCTCTCTGGCCTCCCCAGGCACTGCGTTTACTCCCCTAACAAGGAAGGAACCAGATTTGATTCAAAGATGAAACAAGCAGAACTACATTAAAAACAAATGAACTGATTTTTAAAATCATCACATACAAAGCATGATAGATGTGTTAGTCTATGCTCGCTTTAGCCAAAGACTGAAAAGCCAGTTCATGTTTTATTCTGAAACTTGTCTTCATTCAACTCCATGGCTGGGGGCACTTGACTGCACTCACAGAGTTCTAGGACTTCATTCGGCTTAAACTCACATCTCTGACGAACACCTGGGTTCACAGACACCCCTTCGGAGGTCTCCCTGTGTCCAGTGTGAGCTCACCCCTGCTCTGGTTTCTCTGTACTCAGTGTGAGCTCACCCCTGCTCTGGTGTCTCTCTGCCCAGTGTGAACTTCTTTGGGATTCTTAGAAGAAAGGTTCTAGTCTGGAAGCTAGAACATAAGATAGGATTGCTTTAATCCTGGAAACTGCTAAATGTACCCTCCAGGGGTATTACTGCTGGGTCCATCCTTGCTCACTCACTCCCAAACAGTTTGTACTTAATCTCAGCTACACCCCCAACCCCCTACCCTCCCACCCCGCTGCAGGCTTTGCAAACACGGAGTAGCTCACAGATTCTATGGAAGTTTTGCTTTCACTGAAGAAAGTTTGAGAAACTTAACTAACTTACACAGGGACAGTTGGAGTAAGACTAGGAATTACTTGAAGGTATAACTCATTAAGGAAGGAAATTATACCCATTTGAGCATGAGTTTCCCACTCACAAGAGTGGCCTACTTCTGCCTTAATCACACCTCAAAACATTTTTAATTTTCTCTATAAAGTCTTGGCATGTCTAGTCATTAAGTGACAAACCACATTATACTGCCACCATTCCCAATAACTTCTTTTCTAATTACATGCAGCCTATGCAGTAATGTCACTAGTTTTTTGTTGTTGTTGTTGTTTTGATTTTTTGTTTTTTTGTTTTTTAGTTGGTTTTTTTTTCATGTTGGTTTCATGATCAGCTCTCTTACGGATCTTTCTTTTTACTTCTGATACTTAATGTGTTGTTTTGAGATAGGGTCTAACTATATAACACTGGGTAGAATGAAATTCATAGAGATCTACTTGTCTCTGCTTTCTGAGTGCAGGGCCTCAATGGCCTTCTTCTGTTTTTTTGGGGGGGAGGGGTTTGGGGGTGTGGGTATTTTTTTGTTAATATATCACGTTTTATTTTATGTGCCTGGCTGTTGTTTTGCCTGCATGTATGATTATACACCACTTGTGTGCCTGGCTCCTGCAGAGGCCAGAAGAGGGTGTCGGATGTCCTGAAATTGAAAGCACACATGATTGTGAACTACCTTGTAGATCCTGGGAGTTGAACCCAGGTCCTCTGGAAGATCAGCCAGTGTTCTTTACCACTCAGCCATCATCCCAGACTCTTATTAAGGTTTTCAATGAAAATTGTCAGCAAATAAAAATAGTTTTGCTGCTGGCTGACCCTTATCCCATCTTTTCTTCTCCCTTATTGTGCTCTCACTTTATCTTTCCTCTCTGTTGCATTCAGGAACCCATCTTCATTTTTTAATAAATCTCTGTCTTCTTCTAAGAAATGTCTTTTCAGGTTCATTGCCCGTTTTAAAATAAGGCTATGTTTTCTTGCTGTTGAATAGTTTTCAGTCCTTGTAGAGTCTGAAGATGGAGACTAGCCCCTCCCTAATATTTTATATACACATATTTTCTCCCAGTATGTGGGTTATCACTTTACTCTATAAACCACTGTATAAACTGCCGGAATATCCAGCATTCCCAGGAACTCAGCAGCCTGTATCACTTTCTGCAATATTCAGGGACAATTACCAACTCACCCCACGTCAGGGTAGCCAGGGTCAAGAGCTCAGGAATAGTGTCTTGACACACGACATATTCTGGAGAGTACGGATCTGTTTGCACATCTGCGTCCCGGTAATCCGTCTGAGTGCCCACAGTACACTTCAATGGGATGACTGCATACTTGGAAGTTTCGGGAGGAAAAGCAAATATTTCTAACCTAGGAGGGCAAAATTAAAGGCTGGAACTCAATGCAAACATTTCAAATACTATAGAACCAGGTAAAAGCAAATCTTTTGAGTTTCATCCAGCCCATCCCCCCTTTAAATGCTTACAGGCACAAAGAGTCCAGTATGACTAAATGTGTGCCCTTGTGCCCTACAGTTCTTAGAGAATAACCTTGTTGCTCTCACTTGTATCGGACAGTGAGTGGGCATAGACAGCTGGATCTCCTCATGAAAGCAGCTGTGTGGTGCACAGCTAGAGATGGGGGTGTTGTGTCCACACGTTTGGACCTATTCGGCATTGCTACATTCCTTGCTTCTCCTCTGCTCTTAGTCATATCCCAACTTAGCCACTTCTTTGTAGAAATGCAGAGAGAAAGCTGGCAGAAGGAAGCAACCACTAGAACACACTAGTTTTTGTGGATGATAACTCTTTAATCAAGGCTGGTGTAACACAGCGAGCATGTGCAACAGTTAGAAAATACCTTCCCAGGAAACCAACTCCAGAGAGACCGTAAAAGCATCAACAGAAAGGGTAAGTAGGGTCAGTGAGATAACTCAGTGGGTAAAGGCGCTTGCCCACAAGCTTGATGACCTGAGCTTGGTCCCTGGAACTCACATGATGGAAGGACAGAACTGATTCCTACATGTTGTCCACTGTCACACATGTGTTCCCACACCTGCATACAAACAGACCCTCAAAAAAAATATAAGTAAAAGTGTTTTTCTTTTGTTAGCAAATGCAGCCAGGTATGGCAGCACATATCTGTAATCCAGGACCAGGGCCATAGTGAGTTGGAGGCCAGATCTGGCCAAATAGCAAGAAGCTGTCTCAAAACAATGCACAAGTAAAAATATTTATATTGGGGCCAGGGAGGTGGCCTAGAGGGTAAAAGTGTTTGCCGAGCAAGCCTGATGACTTGATTTGATGCCTGGAGCCCACTGCAGGGGCATGTGTCTGTAACCCCAAAACTCCTAATGGAGTTCCACAGAAAAATAAGTAAAGGATGACCACAAATCAGAAAGTGGAACTTTTAACAGATGTATGAAAAGGTAATACACACAACAGAAAGTAAAGGAAGGTAAAGCAGATACTTTTTAATGTAACTTCCTCATAATAAAGGGTTAAAGGATAGAGAGAACCCAGCTTGACAAGTTATAGGGAAACAGACATCCAACAAAATGGTTGGCTTATTTGTTTTAGTGGGTTTTGTCTTGTTTTATCTAGTTTTTTGGAGACAAGGTCTCATATAGCCTAGGTTGGACTTGAACTTAATGGCAATCTTTCTGCCTCAACCTCCAGATTGATAATGATTAACATGAGTTTGAAGGTAGCCTTAGTTCTGGGCTGGGGTTCATAGAGATCTCTGGGACAGCCTGTCTTTAAAAAAATCTCCCTAAAATATAAATGGAATTTGTGCAGCTATTCAAATAATAATCTAATACTAGTTATAGCTTCTGTTTTCATCAAAATTATTCTACTAAAAACTTTACTTCAAAAAATAACTGGACACCAGCTTTATATCATCCCATATGAAAGCTTATACAAAGCAAACCAAAATGTCAAGATTCATTGAAAATGAAAAGGCACTCCCACTACTAAATGCCTTGAATAGTAAGATTACTTTTTGATTTTTTTCAAAAAAAAAATGTTTTAAATGTAGCAGTATGTATTTGTAACCCCGGCACTCAGAAGGCTGAGGCAGGAGATTCATGAGTTCAAGGACACCCAGAGCTATGTGTCAGAACTATCTTAAATGTGGAAAATGGGGTTAGGGATATAGGTCAGAGTGTTTCCCTAACATGGCCAAATGTCTTTATATTATCACAGATCACATGAAAGTTACAACCACATGAACGATCTGATCAAATGTGGTTAGAAGAACCCGCCTCAGTTGTTCTGAGGAAGGTTTTTGATGCCTAAGCTGTTTTTTAGGAAAGTCCAGGAAAGGGATGAAAAAGAGGAATTCTACTCCGACAGAGCACCTGTAATAACTTCGTGTGCAATTTCCTTGCTCATTTTCTCCAAACTATGGTCTCCCACCATTTCAGTTGGCTTTAGGAGAAAGCACAGTAAGAACAATTTCTCCCTATCTCTTCCTCAGCCTTGACCAGGACTCAGACTCCCCCACCCCACTCCGAAAACTCCTCATGGCTCCCCCAAGTGACCCTTGCTGTGTCCTGGCTGGTCCTTGGGGTTGGATGCTCTGATGTTGGAATCTTACAGTAGCCACTGTGGCTGTCTCCTCTGTCCTGCACACCTCTGGTACAACATTCCCGACAATAAGACCCGACACTGCAGCACCCAGCACAGGAAAGGGGGACAGTGTTTTTAGCCACAGTTTTGCCCCGAAGCTAAAGCAATGTGTCCTTGCACTGTGTCAACTCCTTTGCATGGAATAAACCTTCGTGTGGCCCATTGCCTTGTGTAGGTTAAATGGTCATCAAATTTAAAACCCTAACATCCCCCCAAAAGCCATTCATTACTGATAAAATACTGAGGCATTGCCACCCTGCAAGTGTGTATTTCAGGGAAGCAAAAGAAGATACGTGAAGTGTGTGTGTGTGTGTGTGTGTGTGTGTGTGTGTGTGTGTGTGTGTTATAGATGAAAAATTCCTTTTTTGATGGTACTCAAGGGAGGAGTCTCTTGGGAAGTGATAAGCCTTCATGGATGGATTGGAACCTTCTAAAGGTGCTAGAGGTAACAACTTAGGGCCCCTTTGCCTTCTCACTTCTCAGTATGTGTGAGCATTGCCTTTCCCTTTTCACCATATGAGGACATAGCAAGAGAGCCCTCACCAGATACTCAGTGTTGGTGCTTTAGTCTTAGATTTCCTAGCCTCCAGAAACATGAGAAATTAATTTCTGTAACTTATAAATCATTCAGTCTATGACAATTTGTTATAGCAGCACAGGTAACTCATTATCAGAAATATATCTTCTGTCAAAACCATTATATCCACATGGAAATGGCCATTCATCTTTATTAAACAAAGAGAATATAAAACAGCAACATATGTCTGATGCTTTTGGTGATTTCTATTTTTTTTTTCAGTGTTACTCATGACCCACTGGAAAAATCAGTGAGCTTTGGTAGTCCATGTGACAATATCAATCAGACTTTGGCACACAGAAAATCACTGGAGGGGGCCAGGAAGGGTCCTGGCTATGGTGGTCTATGGTTCATAGGTTACAAAGTTTTGACCTAGAGAACTGCCTTCCTGTAGTGGATGGTGAGATAAGAGAGTTTTGAAATAAAGTTACTTACTTTGATGTTGCTAAAACAACATTGAGTGGCATATGTTGAAGAAATGGAAGGAAGGGCCTGGGAGGAAAAGGAAAATGTGTGAGATTTTCGTATTGACTCAAGCTTTCTTCTTTACTATTTCTTCCTCCCACCCCCTACCTCCCCACACAAAAAAAATCAATGAGTTTGAATAAACTAAAATGAAATTAGTAGTATTCAAAGTTTTGTGTATATAAAACGACCGGAAATGTTCTTATTTAAAATGAAAATTCCCAGATCTGGCCCAGGAGATCCAGCCAATATTGGGTACAGCTGGGGACCCTACATCCTCAGAGTGCATGCTGGTGTCTCCTCAGCTGCCATAACTTCAGAAGCATGTCTGCACTTGGGCTTCAGGTACCTGTCAGTCTCCAGCCACTCCTCAAGTTCTCAAGACCTTCTGACATGACCAAGCTCCCCCTCCTGCCAAGAGCCTAAGAATTTGTATCTATTTGAGTTAAGAAATTAAATTCGCCGGGTGTTGGTGGTGCACGCCTTTAATCCCAGCACTGGGGAGGCAGAGTCAGGCAGATTTCTGTGAGTTCGAGGCCAGCCTGGTCTCCAGTGCGAGTGCCAGGATAGGCTCCAAAGCTACACAGAGAAACCCTGTCTCGAAAAACCAAAAAAGAAAAGAAAAAGAAAGAAAAAAATTAAATTCATAAAAAGTCAGCCTCAGAACATCTCCATTAGGAAATGTTTATATATGATAATGTAGAACAGAAATTTGTCTTTGAAAGGAATAAACTTCCTTTCAAAGATGTGGTATCAAGATTATTTTCCAACCCAAGATTGGCAAGGATATTCTCATTTCAGATTGGTCTGCCTTGAGTATATTATTAGCTTCTGATTGGGTTTGAGCAACATTCACAAGTATTGTCCATTTGGACAATTTCTCCTACATGATGATTTCAAGACATATTTGACTTCATTTGATGACTGCGTCTTATCAACTATACATCCTTTGTTGCCATGGGTACCTCATATACCCTCTCTTGTGTGACTATTGTGAAGATTAGGTGACATCTAAGTAAAGAATGCATGCTGCACCCACCTAAGAACGACAACTGCTGCCACCACCATAAGAATGTCTCCTAGTAGCTGCACGGTTCTAACAATTATTGCTCTTTACTTTCTACCTGTCAAAGAATTTATAGCGATTCCTTCCAGAAACCTCTGGATCTTCGTACTCTTCCTTGGGCATCAGGAAAGAAGCATCTGTTCTAAAATGAAGCAGAGAAGTATATTCAAGTCATCATCTCTGCACGCCCTGTTTCTGTGTGTAGGGACAGAGAGCGCACTTAGCTGTCCTACGTCTCAGACCAGATAGAAGGACTGGATCTGGTAAGAGAGAAAGTCAGAGTTGGGAAATGAATAGGTTTATAAAATCCCAAATGTGAAAACAGTCACATTTAATGAAAATAGCAAGAGTTTCAAAGACAAATTTTATGCCCTATCTGGGACACATTACTATTTATTAACTTACCATGACTTACTTTCTAAGTCATTTAAACAATCAAGATTTCAACAGATGTATTTTTGAAGGTGCTTTACTTGTAAGTCTCAGAAACAAAAAACAAACAAACAAACAAAAAACAACCATTAGTTTAGGTTCAGCTGAAGAGACTACTTGTAATTCCAAAGGACAACAGACTGGATCATTCCTGTCTTAGGTGGTGAGCTGCCCTATAACATACACATAAATACACATGCCAACCTTTGGAAGACTTTTAACCATATATAAATATGGTTTAATTATAAATATATATTTACATATATACTTATGTAAGTATAAAATATTTGTAAATAAATAGATAAAAGAATGTAACAATATATGGCTAAAATATATATTAAGTATTATATTTATCATATATAAACATATGTGTTTTAGAATTTATTTAATATGTTATTTATTTATATGTTTTATAAATAATTGTAAATTAATATATAATAATATATAATTAATAAATATAACATATATTTATATTAATAACATATAACACATATAAAATGTATGGCTTTTGCTTCTTAATCAGCCCTGTTTTAGAAAGAGGGATTTACATCACAGCTATAAGTTTTCAAATCATGCAGAATAATTGCAATTTTTAAAAGTATCAGTGGATCTACTAAAAACATGACTATGTTTTGGAGCATGGTCCCCTGGTACTTACGCAGCACGGAGTCGAAGGGCTTCTTTGTGTTTGGCTTCTTCTCCTCTCCATTCTCGATTGACACACGATGGGACAGGATCTGACTTGTTCCAATACATAGAATATCTTGGATGATGGAACAGGTTACTGAACATGGACCTAAAGTTGGGAACTTTTTTCTAAGGTTCAGAAAGTGAAGCAGAGAGAAGGTCAAAATTACATGGTCAGATTTTCAAATACAACTTAATTGTGTTGTAAGCTTTTTCAAAAGTACAAAGCAATGTATCTAGCGCCAGAGGAGGAGTTACTTGGACTTGCACAGACTGTCTTTAAGAGGACACTCAAAAGGCTGGTGACAATATTTATGTGACAGGTGCTAGGACTACATTATTCTGTACTGTATAGTCTTTGCCGCCACTGGGGTAATGCATCATTTCTATTGACTTAGTTTATGGGTCTCTCTGTCTTTCTCTCTGTCTCTCTCTCTGTGTCTCTCTCTATGTCTCTCTCTGTCTCTGTCTCTGTCTCTGTCTCTCTCTCTCTCTCTCTCTCTCTCTCTCTCTCTCTGTGTGTGTGTGTGTGTGTGTGTGTGTGTGTGTGTACATGAATCCAGGTGCCCGCAAGGGCAGAAAAGAAAGGGAGTTATAGACAACTCAGTTACAAGTGTTGTGAGTCACCACACCTGGTTGTTGGGTCTTGAACTCCCATCCTCCTGCAAGAGCAGCAAACACCATTAACCTCTGAGCCATCTCTCCAGTCCAGTTTATGTGTTCTTTGTTTGCTATTACTTAACCTTTGCAATGAGCTACATGCATTAACATGCCTGGTCCCTGAAATCATAGTGCAGTAATGCCTGTAGTATCCAATGTCCTGATTAATCAATCTGACTAGTGCAGTAGCCAAGCCAGATGGTTCAGATTGATTAGGTTGTGACAGATCAATTAAACTCACCAGTCGGCTTCGAACCAGGGTGGCTTGGATATTTGCCTGTTCATGGTCTCGCTCACTCGACACGATAAATAACGGGTCTGTAAAGCAGGAGAGCCACATAAAGAATAAAGTATGTTTACATCTCCAGTGAGAATACTGGGTACAGAATGCAATCTTCTCCCTTTTGTCTCTCTGGGTTTTACTCATTTTTTTCTAGTTTTAATTGAAAATACTTTTTTTTCATATGAAATATTCTGATTATGATTTTTCCCTCTCCAAACTCCTCTAAAGCCTCCCCCCCATCCAAATCCATGCCCCATCTTTCTCCCTCGATTTAGAAAAAAAATGGACATCTAAAAATAATTATAAAATAAGGTAAGATAAAAATAAAAGCAAACAAATTGAAATAAGATAAAACAAACAGAAGAAAAAGAAACCCAAAGAAAAAAGCACAATAGACACACATAGAGGCAGACACACACACACACACACACACACACACACACACACACACATTTGCTTACACAGAAATCCCATAAAAACACAAAAATGGAAACCATGATATATATGTAAAAGATCTGTAAGGTAAAAACAAAAAGCCCTAACAAAGCATTATGGGACAAAGAACCTTCAAAAAATGCCTTCATTTTGTGTTGGCCATCTACTGCTGGGCACAGGGCTTGGCTTGTAGAGTGATTTGTATACCCAGGAAGACTCTGTTGGAGAGAACTAATGTTTTCTTTGTGAGCAGTTATCAGTTGGAGACAGCTTCTGGGTTAGGGATGGGTGCTGTGTCCACTTCCCCACTCAGCACTGGGACCCCATCTGGCTCAACAGGACCCATGCAGGCCCTGTGCATGCTGCCACAGTCTCTGTGTGTTCATATGAGTATCAGTCCTGCTATGTTGAGAAGCCCTTTTTTTCTTGGTGTCCTCCATCTTTCCGCTTCCACTTCTGCAGAGTTCCCTGAACCCTGAGGAGAGGGATTTAACTGAGTGTTCCAAGTTGTCTTGCTCTCTGCATACTGTCCAGTTGTGGGTCTCTGTGTTTATTCTTGTCTATCACAGAAGGAAGCTTTTCTAATGATGGTTGGCAAAACACTGACATATGAGTATAGAAGAACGTCATTAAGAGTCATTTTATCGATTCATTCCTTTAGCCGAACATTATTTTTCCCTAGGTTCATGACCTGTCTAATCTCAGGTTCTTGGCCTCCTGAGCAGGGTTGGGGATAGGTTCCAGCTCATGGAGTGAGCCTCAATCCAGTAAGATATTGGTTGATCACTCCCACAAGCTTTGTAACACTGATGCACATTTTGAAAATTACTTGTTTTATATTTGTTTATTTGCCACTGCTTATGTGCAGATACCAAAGGACAACTTGTAGATACCAGTTCTCTCCTCCAACCATGTAGGTCCTAGGAAGGAAATCCAGGTCACCAGGCCCTTACATATTGAGCTATCTTACTGGCCCTCTCTCATCTTAACACTGAGTCTTGCTATGTTGTCCAGGATAGGCTTAAACTCCTGAATGCAGAAGATCTTTCTGTCTCTGCTTTTTGAGCATTAAGGAAGGGCTGGAGGCATGTGACAGTATGCTTGGCTTGCAATTTCTTAACTGGAAAGCAAATTAGAGAGTTTAGATATTGCCTAACTGTAGAAGGTCCTGTTACCTTCTTCCATCTACCAGGGAATCTGTTAGATGTGTTTCTTTCCTGTGAATTGCAAGTCAGCTTATGGAACTGGGATGCAAACAAAAGCCTATCATATTTAGCTGGCCTGTAGTGGCACATGCCTCTAATCCCAGCACTTAGGAGGCAGAGGCAGACAGATCTCTGTGAGTTCAAGGCCAGCCTGGTCTACATAGTGAGTTCCAGGACAAGTTCCAAAGCTACAGAGAAACCCTATCTTGAAAAAAAAAAGCCTATCATATTTCAAGTACAGTGTCCTTCACTGTTCTTGAATGTTCTTCATTTCTATGAATTTTGTATATAAATACTATTCCCATTTCCAGTCAAAAGAACAAATTTAGCAGTGCAGGGAAGATGCTCACTCAGCAAAGGGCTTATGGCACAAGTATGAAGATGTGAGTTCAAAGTCCCAGTACGTAATAAAAAGCCTGCCTAGCAGCCTGTATACTTGTACTCCTAGAAATGGGGAGATGGGGCCAGGAGGATCCCGTGGCAGCCCAGCAGAATCAGTGAGCTCTTGGACCAATGAGACCTTGTCTTAAAAAAATAAGGTGGAGAGCAATAGTGGAGGGCATCCGATATTGATTTCTGCCCCTCTCTCACCACACACACACACAGAGAGAGAGAGAGAGAGAGAGAGAGAGAGAGAGAGAGAGAGAGAGAGAGAGAGAGAAAGAGAGAGAGAGAAGGTGGGTAAATTTAGACATCATTTTCCATGTTCGGTGCACTGGAAGTATGCAAATAGCATAACATCTTGAGAATTATAGACTTGGTAAGAAAATATTGTTCTCTAATAAGAAATAAATAATATCAGCTATTTTAGAATTTATCCCTTAGATTTATAAAGACTCTGTGTTGATGATGGACCCACGTTATCTCTCCAAATGTCAACAACTAATTAACCTGCGACTGTAAGTATCTGCTCACTGGGTATATCTTTAATGATGAAGGGTCCAGGTGACTGAGTGGACTATCGATTAAAATGAAGCCATGTGAAACCTGAGAGACCGCTCAGCTGTTAAGAGCACTTGTTGTTAGTCTAGCTGCCTGTCTGGAGTCTAGCAGAAGGCTTGGGTTCTATTCCAGCACCCGAGGGTGGCTTACAATCATCTGTAACTCCAGTTCCAGAGGATCTGTTGCCCTTTTCTGACATGCAAGAGTACCAGGCACACACGTGGTACACATACATACATGCAGGCAAACTCGTATATACATAAAATAAAATAAAAATAAAAATATTTTTAAAAAACAACCAACATGACACTAAATGCATTTGGAGAGACATTTGATTTCCCAAGTAGACTTTTCTCTCAGGAAACAAATGCCCTGGCCAAACATTCATTAGATTTATTTCTAAAGATGAGACCAAGAGTAGCAAAGTAGACCACTGAACAGGTCATGTGAGCAGACATTACACAGCCCAAGCCAAGGAAATTGGATCGTATGGGTGTC